AATGACGCATTGTATATTCATGCGATGTAACCCATGAATAATATTGGTCGCGAAAAATCCCTGCGTGTTTAATACCGGTAGATGTTAGCTGTGTAAAATTAGTATCAGTTGCTCCGCATATGGGCTATTGACTTTTAAGTGGGCTCCGTCCGCACGTGGCGGCTGATGTTGACACGCATCTTGACAGCGTAAATAACCCCACTGTGCATTTGGAAACATAAACTTTTGTCGGAGGTGGGGGGAGGGTTGGTGATTATTGTGCCGGTGAAGGCGGCGAGAGAGAGAGAGATGAGCGTGCGTGGTTTCTCTTTTTTTTGTTGGTTTCGCCGTCTGTGTCACCTTGCTCAAGCCAAGGAAAGCAGACTTGACAGACACAACGGCATGAACATTAATGTTTACACAAAAAAATGAATGAACACAGGGGTTTTTTGGTTATAGAAAATAAATGATAGAAATACAATGGGGGGGGGGGACCTTTCTTGACCCCCCCCCCTCCTCCACTTCCCCTACGGATATAATCCCACAACCTGGATTCTGAGCACGCCAGGCTGGCTTTTCCACGATGCGTTTTCGTTGCTAGAATCTCAACCATCGTCGGTTGTCAGTCGGGTAGTGTTGGTGGAAGGGGTTGAGGGGGGGGGTTGCATGGGGGGGGGGGTAGCCATGCTCACATACTGCTAGATGAATAGGATTTGCAATGCTGATGCGGTTGCTCGTGCGTTGAGGAGGCATGCCATCCCTCGCACGGTCGCCACAATGTCGCCGCTCCCATCTACGGGCTCGGCTCGCTCCTTCCCCTTCCACACACCCCGTGCGTTGCTCTGAATCGGGTGCCTGGGAGCTCCTAAAATGGCGGTTGTGTTCACGGTGTGACTTGCTGCTGCTGCCGCTGGGTGGGAAGAGGCGGCTATGGGGCTGCCCCCGATGAATGAGAGTGAGAGAGGCGGGGGGCAGTGTGTGTGCCTCCCGTTAAAACGTCGAGAGCACCCGGCCATCGGGGGCGGGGGGGGGTATGGGGCGCCCTGGGTTTTAAGGACTGGTGATGGTGGGCTTGGCTGCTGTTTGTGTTGTGCGCATTTGTGGGGAGCGGTGATGTGGTGGTTCGCGCGCTGCGCTACGAACCCTGGGCGACCCGAGTTTGATTCCCGCTCACGGCCAACACCGGTGATGATTATCTGAACCGGTCCTGGTGCCGAGTGCGGTGGTGTAAACATCCACCACTGGGGAGACAAAGGCGGACGGGCGTGGTGCTGTCCACCCACCTCCCCTCGCGTGCCGTGCCGCCCTTCATCGGTGCTACTCACTAACAGCACTTTCCCCAACCCAACAATCTGTTAAGGTTATAGGGGGGATCTTTGTCTTCGTTTTGTGTGCGCGCTCGTGTGACTGCTTACACACCACACACCACACACACGCTGCCATTTTCACATTCTTTGCTCTCTGTTCCGGCTGGGGGGGGGGGGCAAAGCGTCGTCACACAACCGCGAGCTCTGAACTTCCCCCCCCCCCCCCGCCCCCCCCACGGCTGGCTGTTCTATAGGACTTAACAATTCAATTATTTTTGTTGACCAGCTCCGTAATGTCACGGCATCGACATTGTTGTATTGATACTACTGTAGGTGATTTAATTGTTGCAAAAATACGAAGGGTTTTTGCTTGCTGGTTGTTGGTTGATATCGTCAAAGCTTGGCTATTGGGGTTGAACATCTCTTAGAGCCAGACCTCCGTGTGGGTTAATATTTGAAATATTTAATTTATATTCAGGAATTAGACTAGTTATTGAGATAATCACGGCGCTGTACGTCTTGTGGGAAGCAGTGTGCGCGTGTGTATAGGTTTGAAACGTTGGGTAGTGTTGCTGGTGTGCGTTGGTGCGTGTCGCGAGTGGCTTGTGACATGCCTTGTTCAATTGAGCGCCCGGTTTTTTTTTGCACAGACGTTCACCCTTCATAAATATGCAGCCAAACTTGTTTTCTGTCTTCTTCTCTACCAAATCACTACCCCCCCCCCCTCCACCATACTCACAGCATCCTTACCTCTCCCACCCCAACCCCCTCATTGGCCAGACTTGAGGAATTTCCCATCCGTGTCCAAACAGTCTTTTCAAGCGCACGCGGCAGAACAATGAAAATGAAAGGGTTAAGCCGCCACGCCGATGGGCTATTGTGTTTCAAGCTCGGTGCAATGTCCAGCGGTGTCTGAGATTCCCCGGGGCTGTCAAGTTTCGGGCAGTGGGGTTGGGGGAAGGGCGGCAGAACACTCGACCTTGGAGTTATGCAGATTAGCCACGCGGCGACCGCCGGCTTATTATTTTGCTGGAGTAGTGGATGGCTCCAGAGGTGCTGCATTCTTGGCACGGGGTTAGACGGATGGAGAGGTGGGAGGGGAGCCAAAGGGGGGGGGGGGAGAGAGAGAGGCTGGAGCAATCGGCCTTTCAGAGATGGTGATCGAGCAGGAAGGAGGGGGGAGAGAGAGAGAGCACAAGCGGGAAGGAGGGGAGGGCAAGTCAGATGAATTACAGACAAGCATTTTGAAATCCAATATCCATTGCCGTGGTTACTATACACATTGAGGCACTCGTAAATTCTCGGCAAAAACTACCGCTCAAACTCGCGCAGCGGTTTTTATTGTGTGGTTCCTTAATCGGGCATTCGGTGGGGTTAATTTTGTTGTTGATCACGCGATTGCACTCAACTCTGGCTTTGCTGGCCTAAGATTTTGAGACGCACACATGCATTGGCCATTGAGCAAGAGACGTGGAAAGGAACCACGAGATGCGGACACAAATGCATTAGTGTGCAAATGTTGAGTGATGGACACACGTGGATGCACAATGACCCAGGCGGGGGAGTTGCTTTGGGGCCCCACTTGAGATGGGGAGAGAAGCATAAAGAGACTTGGGAGATATAGAGTAATGGCCACACAGAGGTGGACAAACAGATAGGGAGAGCTCCAAGAGAGAAGGGCATAACAAGACACTGATGCAAAGAGAAAGTTGCTCTCCTATTGACCAATATTGTGTGGGGAAAATGTGCATAATTTGAAGTGGATAATTTTGGTGTGAGCGAAGGGATGATTCTGGAGCCCGGTTAAAGCGTGGTTGTGTTTTTACAATGATTTTTTCTTATTGAACACAAGTGGCAACACGCTGTATGCTACACTTGTTGTGATGCCCATTGTGCCTGGAATAATTTTTAAACGTTTAATTTCTTAAATATTTTGCAATTTTACTGGAAAAGAAAACAGAAGGAAATCTGAATAGTGCACAGAAATATGGAGAAAAGAATGCTTGAAAATGACAGAGATAAAATAGAGGAACACATTAACCAAATGCAAATTAGACATAATTGGTGCTGTATAAAAGTAACAGGGCTTAGGCAAGACATGTCTCTTCCATCGGCCATCAAGAGATGATTGCCGTTGAAAGAAACAGTCGAAGGAGAATATGGAATGGTTGCCGAAGGAGCAGATGACCATATGGAAATGCAGTGATGAGATCAACTCAGCTTCAGGAGTGAGATGGCTTTTGGTTATTGAGGAACTGTGTGAAATGCTGACTAACTTTGTGTGGCCTTCACCCAGCAGTTGATTGACCATGGACTGTGAGTGCTTGGGAGCAGTATTTGAAGTTACTGCACTGCTTCCCTTGTTACTTAGGTTTGGTTCATAATGGTGATGCAGAAAACCATCGGCAATTAATGTCTGAATTTGATCCGAGCCTCATACAATGACATTACAAACCAGCAATATTTAACAAAGCTCACTGCTGATGAAACCCAAAGGATTGAAACCGATTTATAGTTTTCCTTATCTAAACAAAAGCTGCTGGTTAGCATTTCTTGAAGGGCAGTATGCCGGCAGACAAAGATAATTTTTTTATTGTAAAACATAATGCAGGTTTATACCAAGAATGTGCAACAAAGAAATAATTCATTTTTACAGTGTTACTACCCTTGATGATATCATCTGCCTAACCCGGCAATATTTACACAGCCAGACCTCGGATGGGACCAAAAAGTTGAAACTGGTCGACAGTTGGTTTGTTTTGAACAATTCTGCTGACCTATGTTGATCTGCAGAGCCCCTACGTAGCACAAGAGGCTAAACAACATTTAAATCTGTAGAGCAGAAATGATGGTCCTCTTGTAGGTCACCTCAAACTAGAATGGGCGGTATGTCAACCTTAGTGCTTGGGGAGACGAAGGCAAGATGAGAGCACTACGTCTTTGCTGTCCTCGTAATAGGTGGTCATGTAAAGTACTTGTGTGTGCAACGATCTCTCTGCGTACTACCATGGTGTTTTTATTAAACGTGAATGTTGAGTGACAGTCGTGCAAACCACTGGCCTTCAACACCGTTGACCCAGGCAAGATGCCCCTTGCGGCTCTGAACATAACCACCACACCACATTACCGTTTAAGATGAGTGCCTTCTAGAAGATTTTAAGTGAATTCTCATTCATTAATCTTGGGTGGCTTATTGTGGAGTGATGTTGTTGGGCGCTTGGCACAGCATCGTCTCATCCGCACAAAGGGGTGGTCGGCAAGCGCTTGTTAAACGTGCCTCGCTCTGCCCATCCCAGTAGTGCTGCCAGAGATGTCAGCCTCATTGCAGGATAGTGGTGCTGTCAGGCGCTGTTTAATGAAGCCCATCGCATCACTACGGTTAAAATTGTGATTTCACGTTGTAAGCATTCGTGCTTCCGCAAGACCGTTTTGGACCCTGCTGGGGAGACAAAAAAAAATGTGTGCACGCATGCAGAAACGTAAACATAAATGAGATGCATCCCAGTTGTGCCCTTGAAGGCTGTTCAACAAACATCTCACCACAGGTGTACCGATACCGTGTGCTTTAATAATCACGCGCAAGTTAAATATTTTTGTATGACGCTTCTCTATTGCAGGTTCTCTTGGCTGCACATGTGAAGATGTCGTCCCAAGCTGGCGGGGTTGGCCTTTGTTACAGCGTGTTTTCTGTGCTGTCTCCATGTGTGTGCGCAGATGGGAGTGATGGACTCCATGGTTGCCAAGAGAGCTCCTCCATACCCAGGTGGAAATGGGCAGCAGCCGCCCGGCACCTTCCCTGACCACGCGCAGGTACGCCGGAATTGCTTAACGCACACAGGTTCATTCACATGAACGCAGTGTTCATATTGATAATGATCATGGCGTGTTGGGAACGCTGCTTGATTTTGGATACAGGGAAGTTGCTCTCATGAGAATTTATACTTTTGACCGAAATTTAATGTGGACTTCAGTAGGTGCTGGATTTAGCTCGCATCATTACAAATAAATGTATTAATTTGGGTAGTGCAGTGGTTAAAGAGGAAGTTCATTCTGGTTGGTGTTGACTCAAGCTTTTACACCACAATGTACAGCCTTTTATCGGTCCACTGCTGGATGAAGGTCTCCCCATGCCTTGTGGTCATCGGAATTTGACCATACTTCACCATGCTGGTCAATGTAGATTGAAGAAGGGGGGGTGGTGCCCAGGAACGCTTCAGATATTACACGCTACCAAGGTTAGCCGTGGCAAGGGAATCAAACTGTATCCTTGGTTCTTTCGGTAAAGTCACGTAGATAGTAGTAGCAACACAAGCAGTCATCTCTCCGCCTGATGAAGACCGCTTTTGTTGCGATTGAAACGTCGTGGTTTTTTGCTTTGATTTCTAATTAATTTATTTTATTTTATTTTTCTATCTACGTGACTTTACCGAAAGAACCAAGAATATGAATTCCTGCAGTCACGAAAGTTTTAAGTCGGAATCAAACTGGTTCGCTGAATTCATAGAGCAGTGCGCTAACCTGAGCGCCATTGCTCCACCGCTTTTTGATGGGTGGCTACTTGATACGAGAAAAACATATTTTTGAATTTGCGGTAATTACACAGTAGTTGTTTTATGGTTAAACTTATCACCACAGCAGGAATGTGGTGGTTTCACCACTGGCTCAGGCCTGTAACCAGGTGGTACACACTACTTGCCATTTGTTGGGCCTTGCTTGGAATGGACTGACTGGCTGATATAAGCAAGAAATACTTTTGACTTGTTACTATTTGATTACACATCATGGGCAATTCAAACACATTTCTTGCGTATCAAATTATTATCTTTCCAGGTAGCCTTGGGGTTCGCTCCGTCAACTGTGAAAAACAAACCTACCTTTCAAGCACTTGCCAACCCCCCCCACCCCGAGTTGCAGAGCCCACCTCGAGGTTAGATAAAATTGGCAGGACATTGAGCGGGGGCCGGTGGTAAAGCTGCGTGTGGCGCGCGCGCGTGTGTAGGGTCAGGCGTACGGTGGCCCAAGCCCTGGCTACACGGGGCAGGGCCAATACGGGCCTCCGGGTGGGGGTCCACACCGCTACGGCTCGACGACCCAGGGCATGCCGTCTCGGCCGCCTGGGCCTGGCAACCCCATGAGCTACCCTCACCAGCAGGTAAGGGAGCAGTAGGAAATGGTAGAGTTTTGAATGCAATAATGCTCTTTACCCAGGACAATCCTTGCAGAGTCTTTCTTTTGAGCAGTGGCCTGCATTGGTTTGTAGGCTTGGATAATTATATGAATGAACGTCAGTAAAACCACAGTTTCTGAGTACAGTTCTGTCCTGCCATCTCTTGACCACCTCACATGTCCAAGACTACAACATTTAGTATTGCCAGAGACAGTCTCCCATCCGAATACTAACCAGGATCAATAATCTTTAGCGTCTGAGATCTTGACAAGATTGGGCTCATTCAGAGTGATTTGGCCACATTGGTGGAGGTCTAGCCAATACCTCTGCTAGTTGTTACGGAATGCCGCCGAGTTCCAGCAGAATTCTGAGTGCAAGGCCTGGCGCACGGGCAGACAAAGGCTATGAAAGAAATGGTTGGAAAATGAGGGGAAATTGCCTCCCATGCATTCAGATGAAATTGCTTGCGCAGGCTTGAGGATCGCTTCCATACGGAAAAGTCAAAATAAGCATTGTATCACGTTTGTTCTTTATTTATTTACATCTTGTCTCTTGTATGAGCAGGCTTTTTCATTTCAGGGGGGCCCTTTGAGGTCACGTAAATCGAGTACTTTTCGGTGGGTGGCTTGGCTTTAAATGTTTTGACATTTTTGTGGAATTGGCTCTTTTTTGCAAATGCTTTTTGGGAAGACGCTGAAATGGGCCACCGTGCGGTGTAACCTTTTTGTGAACGATTGTGTGGCTGCTCGAGTATTTCCCGTGAGTCCTGGCTCACCGGGATTTTTTTTCCGCGAAAATAGTCGGCCAATCGCGTCCGATTATCAGCGGCAGCGCCGCATTTTTTTTAAAGCAAAAAAAGCCAAGCGCAAAGGAATGGCAGGGCTCTTAAGTGGTATCCCTTTCCATACTTAATCCGTTTCTTGCATATTTATGTGTTTGTCGACGTATGTTGGTGTGCATTGGCTGCATGTAATTTTGGGCTTTATCAGTTTTGCGTGACCAATTAGGGAGTACTGCTTTATAAAAAAAAAAGTCTAGATTTTTTTTTACCAGGATTCTTCAGGGGGAGGTGGAGGAGGACCATTAAATTAACCTTAGTTTTTTCGTGGCAAGCAGGCGTTCGAAGTGATCGGCTTGTGCTCGCCTTGGGGTTCAAGGTTCACCACTTAACGTACATCGTGAACATTTGGCTAAACCCGTTGCCCGTGGAGCACCGTTGTTAAAGAGCTAAACCCCTCCGCTAATTTTGTGTGGACCTGCATGACCTCCTGACACTCAAGTAGACCATTGTGTGAAGAATTAACAACTATTTGAGAAATTGCCAAAAATCGTTCCTTCCTGAACACTTGCAAGGTCCAAAGGGCTCCTCACCGAGACAGAAACAAGTCGTCTGAATAAAGCCACTCTTGAGACAATATCCGGCAGACGTGCACTGAAAACATTCAGTGTATCCGCCATCGCAAACTTTCAGATTGCTCTTTGCTTTGATAATGCCAGGTCACCGGTATAATTGTATTAATGCGTGAAAATGAGGGGGGGGGGGAAGGAAGAACTTAACTACAGAGTCTACATAATAATAGGTGATGATTGTGTGCGCGCGCGTCTCCGACAAAATGTGAAGATTGTTGTTAATGTCCTGAAAAAATTAGCCTATTTTGCAATTGACCTGTGCCTAATTGGATCTCCCTCGCCTCGGAGCAATGCTGGCTTCATTTACACATTCCCGACACATCTCGACCACATTAGCATTTATTTATCATGCTTTGTTGCTGTGGCGCTACGTTTTATTTTCCTGAAGTATCTCGTCCCTGCTCGTTTTTGTGGGCCGCCTATGACCGTCGTCTGGGAAATGATGCCATGTCACAGCTAATTCGATTTCACGAGATAATGGTTGAAATTTAAAAGGTGATTTTGAGGCGGGGGGAGCCTCTCTTGCCATGCAATTCGCTGCTCACCACTGCGGTTGAGGGGGCGTCTAGATTTTGACAGGAATTCTGACTTGTCCTCGTTTACATTGAGTGCTATTTTACCTCAAGCACAGCTGCTGCAATAATTGTTTATTTAAACTCTAATGAACGCATGACAAAATATTTTTTTGTAGACCGTCATCCTCGTGTATTTTTTTAGTCACCGCTTCTTTAATCTACTACTCGCTTTCAGCGGCTATTCGGTGTTCATAAATGAACAAATGACGATGTTAAAGCAGTGAACACCAATGGAGATGAAATGTTGATAATCGTTCGCATCCCCATCGATTAGTTGAATCGTCACGATTTAGAATTGCGATTCAATTTTAGAATTTTAGCAATTTTTTGTTTGTTTTTTGTGGCAATTCCAGTAGCTGCGGGGGGACATGAGCTAAATACATTAAATTAATATGAATTGAATGATTGATTAGGAATCGATTTTAGTCTGAATCAATGCATCGTAGTATCACTAAGAGACGATGCCAATGATGGTATGCAGTAAAACCTTGGATTGCGAGCAACTTGGTCTGCGAGTGTTTTGCAAGACGAGCAAAAATTTTAAATACATTTTAACTTGATAAACGAGCGAGGTCTTGCAATACGAGTAGTACGTATACGCTTTGTCTGCCAAACGTCACGTGATCACAAATGAGCCGATGGGTCTTCTCTCTCTCGCTGCGGGATTGTGGGTAATTGTCTCCCATGCTCGGTCTCAGTCGGCGTGCCTCACTCGTATAGTCAACATCCGTGTGAGCATATACTGTTTACTATACTGTTTACTATATCATTGGATAGGTTCCTTGTTAAAATCGCACAAACAGAAAAAGATTCCAGTGATCCAACAGATAGCAGTGATTCCGTGAGTGACAGTGAAAGTCGTCCTACACAATAACCCTCCTCTCCTCTCTCTCGTCTCCCTCACACCAGCCACGATTAAATGTAATTACTTTATATTAAATTTAAATTATAAAAATATAAAAAGGTATTTTGTATTAATCATTTTTATATGAATACAGTATTTTTGGGTTGTGGAACGCATCATCTGAGTTTCCATTATTTCTTATGGGGAAATTCGCTTTGATATACGAGTGCTTTGGATTGCAAACACGTTTCCAGAACGAATTATGCTCGCAATCTTGTTGGTGTGGCCTGTGTCGTTCTAACGGTGGCTGGTCAATTACATGTGGACATCCCTTTGTGTCTTCCCTTGCAGGAGATGGTGTCCCAGTACAACCAGCAGGGCATGGGAGGCAACCCACAGCACCGGCAGCAGGGCTACTACAACCAGCCGCCAAGCCACTACAATCAGCAGCAGCACCAGCCATACCCGCAGAGCCACTACAGCCAGCAGACACCCACCCAATACAACCAGCAGCCCCACATGCCTCCAGCCCACTACAGTCAGCAGCCTCCAGGGCAGTACGCCACGCAGCAGCAGCAACAGCAGCAGCAGACGGGGCACTACAACACGCAGCAGCAGCAGCAGCAGCACCAAGGGCAGTACAACCAGCAGCCGCCGGCGCCGTACAACCAGCACGCCCAGCAGCCGCCAGGACACTATGGCCAACAACCCCAGGGGCACTACAATGCGCAGCATCCAGCGGCGGCGTACGGGCAGCAGGGCTCGGTGCAGTACGGCCCACAAGGCTACAACGCCCCCGGTGCCTACAGCCAGCAGCCGCCGGGGCACTACAACCAGCAGCCGTCGGTGGGCTTCCCCCAGAGATATCAGCTGCAGCCGGTGAGTGTGTGCCCGCGCTGGCCCCTCCTCGCTCGGTGTGCGCATGTCGGCTCCTTTCCCCCGTTGCGGTCGTTTGTCTGAATGGCTTTTCGCATTTTCGTTTGGCTTCACTGTCATTTGGCGTTTTTAGAAAGACTTTCTACCTTGGGAGGTTGCATAATAATATAGGGTAATATATGCGATATGCTTTTAAGTTAACTTATATGTAATGTTTTCAATATATTCGCTTGATTCTGTTAGAAATTATTCCGTTAATGTGTAAAGGGAACTTCATATTTTGGATTGATTACATTTTTCTATATTTCTCAGTACTTTCAGAATCATGACATTGTCATTTTCTGTTCAACTCTAAGTCATGATCCTCTTTACCTGTCTTTGTCTGCTCTGAAGGCAATGCCATCACCTGAAACCTCAACTTGTCGTGTATTTTAAGTTGTGAAGAAGTACTTATTCATGAATATTGGCAGCCCAAGTTAGAGATGTGTGGCTGGGTGACTGAAAAACAAAGCATCTGGCAGATAAATTAACCTCTGTACACATTTTGTAACTGACTGTCAAATTTACATCTTGTAAAAAATTTCGTTGATAAAAAAATACGTCCTTCCAAAATAGCATCCTCTCAAACAACATTAACATGTGTAAGCCCTCTATAATGTATGCGATTCATTGCTTTCGGTGCCGCGGTGGCGAGATGTTCATTATTTCTCGTGGCATGTCGGAGATGGTGGGTTCGATCAGGACCCTGACGCCTGCTCTATATTTGGAGTTTGTCCTCCCCGTGGTCGCGTGGATTTTTCTCCGGGTCCTCTGGTTTTTTCCCTCCACATTTTAGAAACATGCATTTAGAGTATTTGGCCACGATGCAATTCCACGTGATAAGCCACTTCGTTGAGCTATTGATTTGTGGCCATGTTGCTTCTGACAAACCTTAATAGCCGTAATAATAAGCAAGTGGCAACATCCCTATTAAAGATATTTCTTGGCAACAAAAAAAATACTGTAACATTACATAAATCGCTGTGAACCAACCACCTATGCAAAATGACTAATTCCAACTTTTTAAATGGTAAGTTACTGAAAATGAACAAACGGGACCATTCTGACTCGAAATAATAACTCGGTGAGTACTTCTGAATGAAGCAGTTGTGCTTAATGCATTGTGTACACATACGCACACACCACACACTTCACTTTCTTCGTGTGAAGAAGGGGGTGGGGATTATACTGACGGCAGTGTGTTTGTGTATGTTACTTTTAAGACTCTTCTCTCTGAACCTTGTTGGCAAGCGTTTACACTTGCGTTGTCTTGGTTCTGGTCATTATTAACCGTGAAAAAATGCCATTCACAAAAATATTGTTTGGCACTGCTGCTGTGGACGTGGCTGGGACACGAGTGGGCTCGCACACGTGCCGCGTTTGCTTGTGCATTTGCAGATGATATTATTACAAACCCATCCCCAAGGGTAAATTATCTTTGTACTGCACCACTAGTTTTCTCTACACGTTTGCATGTGGACGTCCTCCAAAACTGACAAGCTGCAACGCCCATTGGGTTTTCTTTCGAGGAATGTCTCTGAAAACTCACTTTTATTGTTATGGGCTGTGAAGGAGAGCCATTGCCTGAAACGTTGCCTATTGTATACATTTCTTTTTAAGGCAGTGTTATTGACGAATATTGTTTTTTGGTCATTTCTGCTTGTGCACCACTGTCAGGGCAGCATTGCCTAATTTTGTTTAATTCCACGCTTAACGATAGCTGTTGGGGGGTGGCCTGTGTGGCTCAGTGGACACCAAGGTCCGCATCGCTGGGAAACCTGGGTTTGACTTAAGGTGTGCTTCATTCAGCCTTAAACCCAATTCTTATTTGTCGTGCTCCAAAGTCCAGTTTGGGTGACTGTCAATCTTTAATTGTTATTTTTCCAGTAAAACCCTCTCAATCAAACTAATTGGGGGAGAGCCTTTCTGGTCACAGGGGATAATGACTATCTAAATATTTGCAATGTAATATTTCCAATATAATAACAAATGACTACTGTACAGTTTAATTTGACGCCTTTGACCATGGCCATGAAGCAGAGGCTGATTTTCATGGGTTTGCAGAGTAAAATTTTTTGTTAAATGTCAAAAATTAGAGCGCGCGTGAGAGCTGTAAGCAATTCGCGTGGATGAGCGTGACGTTTAATAGCCCCCAACGGGTTCACTGAATTCCATATAATAATTACACCCCTGCACACGTGTGGTTTTAGAATTGCTCGTGCACATGTGCACGCCATTTCCACCTGTGCGCAAAGTAATTTAGCGTGCGCGCGCCGTGTTCCGCTTAGATTTCTCTTTTTGGGGTGGTGGGTGGGGGCAGTGCGTTGCCCTCCCCTGTGTTTGGCGCTTGCCGATTAAAACCATTGTTTATAATTCTCGTAGAACTGGAATTTAGCGCAGAAGAAACAAATAAAATCTGATGTTTTTTTTTGTGCAGCTGTTGGTAACCAGGCTGAGGCCAACAGCTTTGCTCACTCCAGAACCCGGTTTTAAGCAAAGGTGGCTACCTGGATTTTAAACCCCAGGATCTTTGCCGCACCAAGTTTGAGTCCTTTGACCTTCTTAGCCACCCGGCCACCACAAATTCGGAGCTCTGTGTGGGTGTTATTCCGGGGTGTGTAACCGGCCTGTATGTGCGTGCCTGATTGTGCCGCAGGAGACCGGCGTGCCAGACAATTACGCACGTGCCGTGGCGGCTGGAAACGCAGGCCCCGGAAAGCCGGGCCCTGACGACCCTGCCCAGCACAGCCGGCCGCCCAGCCTGCCGGTACGGGTGTGTGGTGGGAAGCAGGGGGCATGACAGTTAACGAGACTACTGCAGTCAGTCCCCAGCCACCCAGTTGTTACAGGGTGATCCATGCATAGATACCTCGCTAAAATAATAATGGGGATACGCGATAGAGAAAACAAAATTAGAAAGCCTCGATACGTCTTCCACCAATCTGAATGCGCTTAGTACATCTTTTAAAATAATTTTCCATATACTTAGTTCAATATAGCCGGTCTGTTTTGCTTGCCTGTTTGAGAAGAACGTAAGTGAGGGTTATCAGAATCGAGCGGGGATTCTACAGATGGATCGCCCTGTATTATTTCACTGAATCGGATTTAATTCCCTGTGGTGTTGGAACCAACCTTGGGTCTGTCCTCGTTGAAAGAGTCGATCGGCCACTGATGAGACAAAGGTGGCGAGGTGTGTATGTTTCGCAGCCACACCACATTTGTGTTTGCCCTGACATTAATAGGTTTTAACTGGGAATAACGACACTTGCCTTGAAAATCTTTAAAGCTGAACTCTGGTCTTTGCATTTCGACAATTACAATGTCGTCGGTTCAAGAAAGTGTTGGTGGCCCCTCAGCTGCAATCAAATGTAAATCTTTTATTTTCACGTATACCTGCAGACACGCGCACTAGTTCACGACCTGTAAAACCACACACACAAGAAATTGAAGCAAGTCCTGAAATTGCAAAAAAATGGTATCTCTCTGGTTGCCACTGGGAAAAGCCCTTGTCGGCCGATGTTCACCCGTGCGTGTCCTGTGGCGATAATCATTGGGTCCTTGTGAGAAAAGCAAAAGTGATGGATGTCCTTTTTATTTTTTTCTCGTATTTTTTTGCCGTTTGGGCCGTGGCGAGGCCCCCCCTTCCCCCCCACGTGTGTCTATCATGCGGCAGACAGACAGGCGGCCCCATCACATGCAGGAGAATTCCCCTACTGCTTGATTGCGCTGGTGGCAGCGAGTGCAGTAATGGTGGGAGCGAGGGGAGGGGCCCTGTTGACACAAGAGTGGGCACCCGCATAGTTGCAGGAGCTCGTACTGTCCAGAAGAGCAAAATTTTAGTGAACAAAAGTTAGGCTTGGCGTGTGAACAGTCCACGGCGGGCTCGTTTCCCTGCCGCCTTCGCTCAAGCTAAATATCATGGCCCTTAAAACCGGGCGGCAGCCGAAATCATCCCGGCCGCATGACTGCAGCAGCTGGTAACAACGTGTTAGCCTTCGTGACAAGAATCGGACTTAAAATATGGCTGAGAAAAAAAGAACCGTTTCTTAAGACTTAAAATGATGCATTTGGACAAGACTAAAGTGCGATTCGACGTGGTGCTTTCAGCTCCCAAAGTTGATAAAATAACGCCGACGCAAAGTTCAAAAGACGTCGCCGAGAACTCCTACCTTTAATGCGGCCGTCATGTGACAGTGATTGGCCTAATGCCTCGTTTTGGCTGGGATCCCAGTTCCACTCGTGTGAGCTTTGTGCCATGGAAGAAAGGTGTGGCGTCGGTTTGAAAGCCCACTTGCAGCCTGCTTTTATATCGGAGTCCTTTGATTATTCAGAGGCAAGGTCTTTTTATTATTTCACGATTGCATTTTAAAGAGGAATCGGTTTAGGTAAGACAAGCTCTTCAGTTTACAGTATTCCCAATCGTGAGACGATAAGTTTTCTTCCCAGCTGGGGTTGACTCAGCCCATCATTATCTCGTCAGGGTCATTAAGATGGGAGCACCACTTGCTGGGAAGTCGGCGGTAGTTGTCCCGTGAAAAGGCTGATCCACTTAATGGGAATATTTTTTTTACATTCTAGCTTGGTGCATTTTTGAACACTTGAAAGCGGCTGTTGAATACGTTGGTGGGGATCGGTGGCGAAGTGATTTGCACACTGCGCTGTGAATTTGGCAAACCTGAGTTTGATTCATGGCGATGGCTAACAATTCGCACTTCCAACCCTTTATCAACCCCACACTAAGTATGGTTAAACACCTCTCATAACTGACACGGTCTGGGGAGGCCTACAACTGGCAGTGGATTGACGAAGAGACCACTGTAAATTATCATTAGTTACGTCAAATTCATCCTCACGAGGATATTGCAATATGTTTGTGTAAGTACGTAAGTCTACTCTAAGCATTTTTTGTACCCAAAACATTTGCATACTCAACGTATATCATACTAGTGCTTGTGGCAGTGTCAAAAAACTTGACCAGTTGGTACCCAAATAAGCATATTATTGTGGTTCCCTTGAAGAAGCCAAAAATGGCATGAGCCACAACGGTAAAGTATAAAAACTGAAGTATAAAAAGTAGCTATTGCTGCAGTCTTTGTTGCTGTGTTGGCTCACAGCCGTTTGATTGGACACACGGCCGAAGTCGACTCCAACTTATGTTTCATGTACTCTGCCGACAGGGAGAAAATGTTGTTCATTTTCACTGCCTCACTTTGAATGAAATGCAGTGCCTTCAAGGCCATGGTTTTTCTGCTTTACACGTAATGGTGTCGGCTTGTAAAAAAAATGCGCAAAATAACCGTTTAAGAATTAAAATAATCGGGAAAAAACACGCGAAGCAGCGAGTGGAAAGAACATTAATTTTAACCCAGCGTTGGAGAATAGGGGTCTCGATTCTTCCTGTATAAATAATCTATGACTGCCGACTTCAAGGAACAAAAGCTTCCTGGTTCTGATGCTTTGCCAGATACTAAATGGCACAGGGTGGCGTTGGCAGGAAAAATGTTGCACTTGTGAGCGTGCAGCCGTATTTAAATAAAGGGAGACGTTTAAAAGTTGTTCTTTTAAGGTTTAAAAAAATATATCTTATTTCCCTCCAACTAACTCGGTCAAATATCTCTTTTGGAAAAAGTACTTTGGAGAGTTTAAAATGAAAGCAAATGCTCTTGGCTCTTCTCATCCTTCGTATTGCTTTATTCGGCTCGTGAGACTTAATTTCTTACTTGGAATTCTTGGAACGAGGTGTATACCACTTGCTTATCACAGACGGCCTTAGGAGTTGAAATATGCAAGTCGCTTAAGCAGACCTCTTTATTTAAACTTGGAAACACCTTATATGAAAAAACCCATGATTTTTTTCTGAGAATTGGATTCAGCTGAATATTGCGAACAACAAAATATGCTTGATTATGGTATTTACCAAGGAAATGGACTGAAACCATACATTAACTATATTTTTGGAGTATTTAATTCGTGAGTGACTGAATTCTGGATTCTAGCCCACAATATCTTTGTGTGCTCGCTCCCCTGTGCGCCCTTCGCATGGCATCATTACGCCCGAATTCTTCTAACAACATGACACATCATATGTGTCATCCCATATATATATCATCCCATTGTACAGGTTGGGAGTTAACATCACGAGTTGAATACTTCAGAGGAAAAAAAAAATGCTTGTTATGTACGTTGAACGTCTTTCGTACCGTACATAGCCAACTAACTGTGCTAATTGTCGGTGCGGGAAAACATTGCAGAAGCTGCGCACGTGCCTGATTTTTCTTCCGTGCGTGTAATTTCAGGACCTCTCCGGGAAGATAGACGACCTGACGATGTGCGGAGACGACGTGGCGGCATCGCAGGGCGACTCTGGCTCGAGCCGCTCCGCCCCGTCTCCATTCTCCCCGCGCTTGCCCGGCTCGGCGGGCACCGGAGCCGGACCCGTGTCCGCAGGGGCATCTGCAGCTGCGGCGGCGGCGGCGGCGGCGGCGGCCCAGTCGCCACACACGCACACCACCCAATCGTCGCCGCACCCGCACGCCGGCCCACGCCCGTCCTCCCAGTCGCCACGCCCGCTGTCGGCCGTGCCGCACTCGCCGCACGTCACGGCGGCATCGTCGCGTTCCCACTCGCCGCACGTCGCCGTGCCGCCCTCCCCGCACGCCCAGCAGCAGCAGCAGCAGCAGAACGCGGCGGCGGCCGCGGCGGCGGCCGCGGCGGCGGCGGCGGCCGCCATGGGCCCAGCAGGCCCCGCGGCGTCGCCGTCCATGTCCCCGTCTCCGCACCACGGGCCCTCGCAGTCGCCCCGACCGCCCGCCGTGGGGGCCTCTCCTTCGCCGCACCCGTCCGTGGGCGGTCCGTCGCCTGTGTGCTCGCCCGCCGGCTCGCGAAGCGGCCCGCTGTCACCCGCAGGGCACGTGGGTACGTAACGGATGTTGCGTCCCACGGATATACGCGATGCACCCGCCCGCGTGCTGGGTTGGGGGCTGCTGTAGAGCTTGGTGGTCTGTGTGTGGCGTTACCCCCACTAGCAGGGCAAAAGACATGGTGTTTGCACGCAGGTGGAGGTCAAGCAAGTGGATCCTGATTATCCGTGCATTGTTAGTAGCATTGGTGTTTTTTTTTTCTCAAGGCACCCTGGTTTTTCACACATTTGAAAATACAGGGTGATCTGATTATGGATACCCCACTGAAAAATTGAAATTTTTTAGCGAAAGCAACATTATTTTATACATGTCTCCCACCAATCTCAATACACTTTGTAAAATATTTTAATACGTAATATTGTTTTCTTGCCAGTGTAAGCATTGTCCAGGTTTCAAACATTATTTGACTCAACTTCACCTCCACACCGCCCCCCCCACCCTCCTCCTCTACTTTGAAAACACAAAATATTCCCCATTTATAAATAATTATATCCAGGCAGAATAGTTATTCAGTAATAAATTAGGAATTAATGTAAAGTGATTATACTGCCACATGCTGTGCTGGCTGTCATCATCCACAGTCACTTTAAATAGCACTGTTAATAATCATAATCATGGCTGTGTAGATTTTTTCACAAGTAGCCTAATTGTTTTCATGTTAACGCTCTAAAAAGGCTGTTAATAATTCTATGCTTGCATTGCCTTTTTCTCGTTCCTGCTTAATTAAGGCAGCATTTCAACAACGAGCATGTCGTAGTTTTCCCACCTTATAACAAAGGCTAATTTCCTGCACGATGACAATCCACAGGATTTTTCGACGTGTTTACATCGATGTAACTCATGTTGACATCGTCATCTGTGATTTTATGGATCCTAATTAGCCAACATTAACCATTCTGGTTTTTCACTGATTATATTATTGCATCTACATCCTTTATAAACATTGCATGATGCCTACTAGGAGCAATAAATAAACATCCCACATTGAAATGTATGTTAGCTCTAGGAAGCTACAAAATAATTAACTAACTTTTTATCAAGTTACCGTGCAGAATTTAGAACTTAAAAACAACAATTGTTTCTGCTAATTGAACAGCTTTGCTTGTGGGTACATTTCCCATTTAAATGGTTTGTGTGAAGGCATTGTTGTGCACATTCGGGCCTAACCGTGCGATTTTCAGAGCTCACTTTGAAACGTGAAACTCCACAATCTGGAGCCAACTCTTCCGCTCTGGTGTTTCCGTGACTGTTAATTGGATGTGTTGAATTTCCTTTGAACTGTCATTTGAATGCATTAGTTTTGCACGTTTTTATTCCGATGCCAAATTTGAGGGCTCTCCGTAAAAACCCCACCCCCGTCCCATCAGCTTGTCGGCATTCGCATTGCGATGGGATTCTTTGTAACCCCGAGTACATTGTTTTTTTTTTTCCTGAAAAGCCAGCGCTGCCATCTGGGCGATGTACACTGCGACAGCTTTCTTCGTTATTGTTGCAGTAAATCCCCGAGTTTGACGTCACCATCTGTTCGAAAATAAATTGGGGGGAGGGGCATTTTGCGAAATGTGTGTCCGCAGCACTTAAGAGCAACCAGTCCACGTAAATCATTACGCAATGCCCACCTACCGCTCGAGCGATCAATTTGGGTACGGCGTGGAATTCGCGTCGAGAGCGTTCCGATGCGAATACACAAAATGGTGCCGGAAACGGCCATGCCCCAAAAGTGGCCGTCTTGGCATCACCGTAACACCGTCGATGGTAGCACGCGTTTTGCTGCTTTGTGGTTCAGTCCTTGACTTGGCGCCAATGCACTAACACCTCGCTGTCTTCTTGCTTTCTGCGCCTTTGCTGCTCCTACCTCCTTTCGTCATGTGCTTGTGCCCCCCCCCTCTCCCGTGCCACTGCCCGTCGCTAAGCAGGCAATCAGATGACCCCTCAGTCCACCGGTAACCTGTCAGATTCGGGCTCGGTCAGCCAGTCCCCACGGCCCCAGGAGCGAGGTTTGTATTCCTCGGAACTGTCTTTGGGTCGGATTGACAAGTTCCCCCCTACTGCTGCCCTTATCTGTACTCCCCCAGCCCTTTATCCGCCCCTGATTTGGCCGATTTTGATTAACCATTTAATTAATTATCAAGCCTGCCCCCCCCCCCATGTGCTGCACTGTGCATTTAGCTGAACGCATTGTGCACATTCAGGCCTAACCATTTGAAAGTTAAAGTGAGATGGGCTCTGATGGCAATTGAATAATTCTGCTGCACATTGTGGAGTTTATTTTATAACCCATTCTCAAATACTGCACACAAGAAACCAGAAAATGATGCATGATTCTTAATCTCTTTTTCGGTCTTGTCCAATGCCTCACCATTGCTCTCAGCCCTGCAATAAAAATGCGCATGTGGCATGTACTCTTAATGTAGAAATGTAGGTTCTTAAGTTCATAATACGTATATGCCGTCATCTTGTATTAACTGCAAGTATCATATAGAAGAGCCAGTGCCCCCCCAATCAGGAGTGCACATCCATCTTGTTAATTTTAATTTTGTGCAATTACCATAATGGAGATGATTGTGTGCATGTTACTTGTTAAGAAGTAGGCTAATGCATTGTATATCAAAATTAGTGTGCTATTGTGTATTGGGTTGGGAATAATGTCATTGGTGGTATACTGCATGACCATGCCAGCAACCATCTTTCACAACACATAATTTGGTGAATGAACCTAGCTTGGCCTTCCAAGAGGTCAACTAAGTCTCAAATGAGTCATGTTTTTTCGGGGGTCAGCATCTGCAAAGGTCATACAAAAGGTGGGCAGATATTCGTCATGCTGAATTTAACAACTTTAAAAGGTGTGCGACTGCCTAGATTGGTGCTTGCTAATGTGACGTAAATACAATTTGAGTTCATAAAGCTTCCAAATGAAATGCTATCTCTAGCTGCTTTACAGTTGCACAATGCAATCTGGATAACAGTGAAGAAACTATGAATGGGACATTCAAGTGATGAATTTGAAAATATCAATTTAGAAATGAATGAAAAGTTACTACGGTATTATTAATAATGAAACACAAATATGGCAGGCAGTTCATCATAGGCGGTAAACAGATGAGGTATCGCGCTTGTTGCACCTGGGATCTGAAGGCTGAGCAGGAGGGGTGCTCCGTGTCTGTGTCGGTCATGCAGGATACCCAAAGGGCTCGGGGACGCCCCAGGGAGCTGCCGGGATGACTCCGCTTTCCCCACGACCGTCCCAAGCTGGCCCGGGCTACCCGGCTGCCCCAGCCGCCCCCTTTCCGCACACGCAGCACCAGGGGGGGCCGTACCCCCGCACGGCGCCGGGCCAGTACTACGGGGGGCAGCAGTATCCCCAACAGCAACAGCAGCAGCCACCACAGCAGCAGCAACAGCAGCCTCCGCAGCAACAGCAGCAGCAACCGCCACAGCCGCAGTACCCCGGTTATGGACAGCAATATGGGCCGCAGGGAGGGCAGCCCACGGGGCAGTACGGGCCGCCATCGGCGCCCGGTCAGTTCGCCAGCGGACAGCAGCCCCCTCCTGCCCCCCAGGGAGCGCAGTACCCACCGCAGTACGCGGGGCAACAGGGAGTTGGCGGCGGCGGAGGAGGAGGAGGAGGAGGGCCGTACCAGTCGCAGCAGGGAGGGCAGTATGCGGTGCAGTACGGGCAACAGGCGGGGCAGTATGGCGGCCACGCAGGACAGTTTGGGCCTCAAGGTAAGAAACTGTTTTGCAGCTGTCTCTTCGTTTTTTGCTTTAAAGTACTTTAGCTCTGTCTTAATTTTAATGACCAATAAGTGTAACTTGCCAAACTCTTCTCCCTCATTTCGATTTTTGAATGAATAAAATGTAGTCTTCTTGGGACTAATGGGGTTTTGTTGGGGAAAAAACTATTATACCGGAGCACTCCACTCCTGAATTGACCTGGTATTATTTCTAGAGCATAGTTTAGGTTTGGAATCTGGATCATGATGAGATGCGCACAATTTATCTGCTTTGCCCACATTGCTGGGTTGGCCATGACCATGGTACCCAGTAGGAGGGAGAGTGTTCAGGCTTTAAGTAGTAGTGCTGGGTGATTACTGCAGGAATCGTTAAAAATTCTACAATTCCACCATTGGCGAGAGCTAAAGAATGAAAACTATTCCATTATTAATTTCTCCGTACACAAATGGGATGCCACCAGGGTCAGTGTGCCATCTCGTGGTGATTCTTGGGATTGCAAATAGAATTTCGCTCATTTTAATAGACCCATGAACCTAAATTAGAATAATGGATTATGTCAACCATTCCCAAGTTGTCAGAATCCCCATTCTTTTCGATGACGATTCATATGCTGCCATTACAAGTAATGCTATTCCATTTAACAATACTTAGGCTTTAAATCTAGAATAAATACTTAGGCTGTCAAATAATCCCATTCATTAGAATGGAGATGCACGAGTCTCCATTGAAAGAAGTTGGCTTTCTCCGACAGCACAGTAATAACCCTTAGACTCCTCGTATAGTTGTCTAAGGTACTGTTAAAATCACCGGAATTCTAGCGGTGATTCCAGGAATCTCCACCAGCTGGCTTACTTTGGCCTTCTAAAATAAAAATACCAATCGTTCCACAATTCCATCAATTCCACGACCCCTGTTCAGAATCGTGTTCAATTCCAGGGATCTCATCACGATCGCTGTCTTGGGATTGTGAGACTCCCCCAGCACTAAATCCGCATTGGCTACACCTGACAATTGATAACAGTGCAAACCTTGCTCTGTTGTGTGGAGCCTGAGCACTGGAGGGGAAGCGTGTCTGGTACCGTGTGAGAATACATTACTAAGGTGGGGTACACTGTTGTGAGCCGTTGTACTGCGTGTGTGTATTTTGTGAACAGTGTTCCCTTGTTATTCGCGAGGGATATGCTCCGGAGATGCTTGTGAAGAGCAAATTTTGTGGATAATGATATTGAAGTACCTTAAATAAATATATGAATAAACTATTAAAAATATTCAAATTACCATAACACACAAAATGGTGATAACGGTGAATAAATATGAAAGTTTAAATGAACTTACCTTAACTTATGATGCCGTGCATCATCACTTCATCTCATCCCTTCATCTCATCCCTTTCTTGCATCACATTCTCTCGTCACTTTCTTTCTCTCTCGATGCAATTCGTGTATAGTCCCAGATGCGATTTCGCACGTAGCCATGATAACCGCACATAGCAAGGGGATCCCGTAAACGCCTGTGCTCATATGCCCGTCGCTGCCGTGCTTCTGCTCCCGCAGCAGTCAACGCGAGTAACTGTATGCCGCCGGGCTACGGCGGTTTCCCGGACGGGAGCTCGAGCAGTGATGGTTTGAGCCCTGGTGGTGAGGGCATGGGTCAGGCTCCGCCAGCGGGAGGCTACGGTGGCCCCGTGAGCCGCGCGCTGTCCCGTCCCTATGGCGGAAGCAACACCCCCGACGCGCAGATGGGCCTCAACGGCATGCCGCCCGGGCCGCCCAACAGCAGGTGGCCGCCGTACATCCGTCGTGTTCGCTCTTCCTCGGTCTTTGAGATCGGCCGTCAGAATGAATTAGCTCTGGTTCCCTCTGACGAAGCGGAGTGAGGGGGAATAATGGAGTGGTGGGGGTGACTCCTGGATTTTGTTACGTGTTTAAAACATTGCCATAATTTTTCACGTGATGTAATTGCGTGAAATGTTGGTATTTTACACGAGGTTCTCAATCGTCCACACCAACGGAGGGCATAATTCCTGTGCAGATAAGCAGAGTTTACAATGAATGAAGGCAACTGCATCAGACTGATGCCCACCGTGGGAATAAGACATTTCTACTACCGAGTCAGGGTGGAAAATAGAGATGAGCATCCCCCACCTTTGCTCGTTTGGGCATTTTGAGGATTAGGCGTGAATTTAGCTGCTTGAATGTTGAACCTCTTTTGCACCGTATGTAGCCAATCACGCTAATCTGAGGTGTGGGAAATGGATAGAGGAACGGGATTAAGGGGGAATAATAGTGTGGGGTGACTGCTGAATTTTGTTTTACATAATGCATTGACATTAAAAAGTAATCCTTTTACTGTACACGTGTGCTGGTAGAACAAAGGGTGGTAGCATAAAATATCTATACGGCTTCTGGGTGCCTCTACGGTGTTTGTAAAATGATTTTGTGCGAAGAGCGCCAGGAAACCCAGCGGCATTTGTTTTTACAGGCAACACCATGTAGGTTTTTATTGCCTGCTTCAATGAAATACTTAAAAAAATTGTTGCATTCGTGTCTTTTGGCTTATGGATCTGAATGTAGTTTTATCTAGTTTTAAGTTTTGTCAAACTGCAGTGTATTCACCCCCATTCATGGTGTGCAGCCTTCCAGGAAGGGGGGGCATGCTTTCCAATTGATATGCCTCCACTGCATATTGCATGCATGTCCATGGCTGGTAATTGGAAAAAGCATATCATGGCGGTTGCAAGGACTGCAGTTTGGTAAACACTTATATAGTACACTGAGTGGTTTGTTTATTTTATTTGAACAAAAATGACTTGTGTTCTATGTGGTCTGGTGGGCTGTGTATCAATTTCATCGTTGTATTATACTCTAATAATTTCACACCTGTGCTCCCTGCCTTCGAATCTGTACAGACCACCGTGGTGAATTAGGGTTAAATAATTCCCTCCCACTCCCCGGCCCCCCCCCCACGATCGTCACGGTGAGGGGGAGGTGCTCATCCATCACCGGATTGACAAAAATCTGCACGTTTTTCTATATATATAGTTTTTTATGCGTTGTGCATCGCAGGGCCAGCGTGTACGAGGGCGGTGCAATGGGCCCCGGGGTGCCGCCCTACGGCCACGGCGGCTATCCCCAGCAGCAAGCCATGATGAGCCCATCCGGCCCTGTCATGCCCAACAGCCTGCCAGGTACGACACCACAAATGAAACACAAGACCTCGCTGATCTCGTAAAGGAGCAATAAACCACGTCGCAAACTCCAGTTTCTCCCCGGAGCAGATTTTTGGCTACTCGTCGAACAAAGACGGGTGCCGCATCGTGCGCGCTTTCAGATGCACTTCTGTGGCCGTCTAGAACACTTCTGCCTTCCGATATTAGGAATACACTGGGAGCGATCAAGATTAAAAACCCATTTCTTTCGAACGGCTTTATATGTGTTTAGTTGTCCTTCACCTGCACCTCCGATTAGCACGGTTGGCTACGTACGTTGCAAAAGAAGTTCAATGTATATTCACAAATCGACGGGGAAAATCCGTTGGTCTGTGGAAGCTTTTGTAAGCTGTGCACAAGTTGGCCATTTGCACAGGTTATGAGGTTTACCGATGTGTGTGTTTATTGTCAGGTTTAGAGATGTTTATGGATAGTGTGATATATTTCATTAGTTTTTTATTGTGTTAAGATTATTAGCGTTCATTTATGAATGAGTTACAATTCATATTGCCTCTGATGACATTGTTTTATTGCACACTTCGTTATTTTGTTTTTAACGGTTTAACTACTGAGCTGACATTGTTGGTAAAAGCAAGCACGCGTAACCTTCACTTTTCATGACATTTGTTTCCAATGCATTGCTTTGTAAAAGTGCAGTTCATAGGTTTAATGCATTTCTAAAGATGAGTATCATACAGTGGCATAGAGAGCAGTAGCTAAAGGGATCTTGTGCTAAAATAATAACAGCAATGCACATATACGGTCCAGGTGACCAAGTTGTGTCTGGATGTTGTCTCCCCGCCCCCCCCATCTGCTGCTGACTGCCACATAAATCCGCGATTGCTCTGACCAATCAGGAGGCTACGTGGCGCCCCCCTCTGGGCTGGTACCCGAGGCAAAGCTCCCAGCGAAAGGAAAGGGAGACAAACCGGCCAGCGACGTCAAGTCCAAGGTATGGTGCACAACCCTCCCCCGACTGGACATCTGTGAAAAAGAGCGTTGTAGCTCATCGGATTTTCCCATTATCAATTTGCTGGTTCTGGTTCTGAACCGCCCTTTGGCTCTAACTGCAGCCCTCCCACCCCACCACCACCGCCACCACAACGCTTCTCGATCACAGTATTAACGAAATGAATTTCTTCCAGGTAATTCACGTGGGCCTATAAGCCGTAGACGTATAGTTCGCACTTGGAGCCCTGGAGGGCACTTCATTTTACCTGGTTTATAATAATTAAGTATGCAGCATGCGGCCAAGTTGCTTGACAGATTTTGAAATTCTCTTCTTATACGATGTGGAAAAGATTATTCTTTATCCGGTAAATCGGATCCCATTTGTTAAATGGTATGGTGTTTTTTTAACCAATTTTTTTGACACATTTAGGTAATTTGGAGGTTGAACAAATGAGAATATAACTTGCTGAGCAACGGCTCATGCTCTCAACTTGGCCATCTGCTGGTTACAAAAGCCTTGAGCAAGCGATATGATTTTGGCTTGTATACAGCACGGCATCAGAAGCCAAATATGTGCAAAGTTTTTCAAAAGTTACTTGCTGTTACCTTCAACCGAGGGTTCTTGCGATTTAAACATCGCAGCATTTCCAGGGTTACTGACAAATGAAAGTAAAGCCTAAGACACCAGGTGCATATTCAGACTTAAAACTGATTTGTGTAATAAAGCTTAGTGCATGTCTGTTAAATGTGTAGTTTCAGAGTGTTTACAAGTTGCTGTCCCCAGCATATTACATGGTCTGTTTTTTCTTCATAATATAATTTTTTGGGTTGGATCGTGTAAATATAAATGTGTCGTTAAACCCGCCACCACCCGATACAGACAATTAGTAAGGTTTGTCACGTGAACAAAATGTGTCAATTAGAGAATAGTTCAGCACACCGGTGTGGAGAGCAAATCCACACCATTTACAATTGGCAATTACGGATTGGCATGTTCTGTTTACGTGACGAACCTTAATAATTGTCTGTTTCGGGTGATGGTGTGTTTAATGACACATCTATATTTACGCAATTTAACCCAAAAATCTATTATGGGATGATTTTGGTCGCGACAGCCTACGTGTTTTTTTGCTAGACCTTTACCGGGTTCCCTTCGGGATTGCTGGTGTGAACGCCGATATACAAAATTCTGTATGACTAGGGCCAGTATTGAATCAGGGTGGAGAGGGGGAGAGAGGTATTTACTCTCTGTTCACAGTATTTTTGTTTGAGGTTTTGACCATTTTACTCGGTGGACATTTGAAATGTACTTTGGAAGCTTTTTGGCCAAATTTTTTTGAGCAGTTGATACCACATCGTCGTAACTGCTCTTGACACTTGGGCGGTGTCGGAAAATTGATCCGCCACGTGGGCTGCTTTACCTGCGTTTGTGACAAACAACAGGTGTGTGTGGAGGAAGAGTCTTACAATTTGTGATGTCATCATGTCGGCTCGTAAAATGATCTTTTGACTTTGTAAATGGAACAGCAGAGAATTCTGATGAAACGCTTTTTGCCCGGAGGCGTGGTTTGGACGTTTTTTCGGCTGTGCCTCATTCTGCCACCTGTAAATGACTTGACTCTCTCCTCTCCACCCTCCTCTTGTTCTTGTGCCCTCTTTCTTCCCTGTAATGTGGCTCGCCACTTTGTTGACCCTTCCGCCCAAGACCTTGTCGCTGTGTCGGGTGGGGGGGGGGGTCTTTGGAACTGGCTCGCTAATGCCACGCGCGACTTTTGTGATCTTGCTCTTAGCGCGGCGTTCTGCAGGCCGAGATGGTCGTGCGCGTTGGGAAGGCCGTGGGTCGTGGCACTCGTAAAAATAACTTATCAAGTAAAATAAAAATAAGGGTGTTTTCAGCCACTGAAATGTAATTTATGCTCGCGTTGAATTAAAACTCGAGATAGATTATTGGCTCGCGTATGTTCAATATTACATTTTTGAACTTTAAAAAATAAATGTGTCATGTTTTAGTTTAATCATTCCATCATTTTTTTAATTTACGCTGAGATGGTGACTTTTCATTTTCATTTCATACTTTTTGCCCTTTGCAGTGTGTTGCGTCATTGAGTTGAAGTTTAAGGCATTCATTTCTGCCAAATACCTTTAAACCATTAACTGCATATATTAACACGTTAAGTTATTACAAGGAGTAACATTATTAATGTTTGATTCGTTAATGACCTCCGCTAGGTTGACTTGACCTTAAAATGAGCTTCCAGCGCGGATCTCCCCTGGGTCAGCATGACCTGAAATGAGCGCTTGCCAGAGCTCTACAGTTGTGAGCTGTCGAGTCAGCTGTGCGTAGACCACAGGCCACACTCCTATCCTAACCTCTGCTCTTGAGCGAGGGAGAAGCAGTTGGGCTGTGCGTTATCCACGTGGCTCATGATACTTGCATGACTCACCACTTGTTGTTCGATAGTCATCTGTTCTCCAAGCATTTCTGTGTTCGGTCGTCAATTTTTATTTACAGCTCCTCGGGCATTGCTCAAGCTGTGCATTAGGTTTCACACGGCCTCCAGTCTTCCACATGCAAAATTAAACCCTCCGTAAGAATATAACGTTTTATTTTGGGGTGCTCACTTTGTGCTGGGTGGTTAGCTTGAATCGATTTGCCTTCATTAAAAAAAAAGTGGATTCAAGCAGTTTTTTTTTACAATACTGAGAATTTAGAATTGTTCAAATTTTTTGGGGAATAATGAAAATTGCATATCCTATAAACCTCCCCTCCCCCCTCTGCTCTCCGCACCTGACTGATGACGTCATCTTGCTATATTTAAGACCAGAAGCAGGTGGATTGCGTCACTATTCTGGCAAATTGCCCGATGATGCTGAATGTAATTACCAGCGAAACATCGTACTAGAATTATAAATGTTGTGGATTTACTCTGCAACACACCATTGGGCTGAAGTTGTAACTAATTGGCACTTTGTTTACGCGACAAACCTTACCGGCCGTGTCGGGTGGCGGAGGGTTACGACACATTCAAACTTACGCGATCTAACCCAAAAACCTTTATTATGAATTGCAAATCCTTGTTTAGACAAATTTTAGGTGCTTGTTAAAAATGTAATTGCAGTCTCATTCAGGTGTGGCCTTTCCATGAGTATCGTCACCCTCTTGATCACCACTGTTTGTCATCACCTTTGCTATCATTTTCATTTAAAGCGCTGCTTTTACTGCCTTCCTCATACGCAAGCTTTTAACAACCTACACATGCGTCAAATTACCCCCTGCCATTGACACAAAGTAAAGTGATAAAATACAAAGTCTTAACATCAACATAAGTCGTGTAGCTTGTTACGATTCGCAATACCAACGCATGTTGCTTAGCATTAGACACCGCTCAACCTTTTCAAACTATCGCTCGAGCAAAAACATTCTGCGGCTCTACATTTGGCCCAAGCGCCACTTAGGTGCGGGACTGCGCGCAAAGGCGCGCACCGCTCCCCCTCGTGAAACCCAGCGAGGTTCCAGGGCTTTGTTTTTCCACCCCCATCCAACGTTTGGGTGCCGTTTTACCCGCCACTACTGCAGCCCCCGACATGCGCCGCTGTCTCGGCTCGCGTTGCCGCCCTGCGTGCACACTTTGGTTTACCGTTGTGTTGTCGTGTTGCGTGACCGCAGGCTAGCGGCAGCTCCCAGCCCTACCCCTTGGCACACCCGCCCGCCCCCTCCCTTAAGTCCCCCGGCACCTGTAGCCTTTCCTGCCGCTCAGCCGACGATAGCGCTGTAAGTGTGCCCACTCGCCCAACCAACAGTGATAACCCGCACTCCTGTGTGTGTGCGCGTGCGTGCATCTCGTTTGCGGCCGGTGATCCGCGGCATCGTGGTTTTCCTTGTTTTCTCTACGTGGTTTCGCTTTGCTGCGACTGTGTTTGTCCCAAGCACACGACAACGCATGCGCTTTTTTGAAATACTCGTTTAGCATTTTTCAGTTTTCACATTCTTTTTGGCGCGCGGGCGTCTGTGATGGTGTGCGTTGACGTTGTGCTTGCGTGCGTATGCGAACGAGCGAGGTGTGTGTGCGTGCACACAACCTTCTGCAGCTGGCTTTGTTGCTAAGTCACGGGTAACAATGAGATGCGGGGTTGGGTATAAGGTGGTTCTCATTTCGTAATGGAAAATAATTTATTATTATAAAGTGTTCACCTTCTCGTTAACTTAAAACACAGTCGTCCTGTAACTTGATTTTAAAATACAGCTAAACGGTTCATTGGCTGGGTGAAAGCTCAGAAAAAATATCCCTTGTGGTGTTGAACACTCATAGTTGCACTTTTTGTTTGGTGGGATAACTTCTTTGATGGCGTTTAAAACTAGCTGAGCTTTGAGGAAACCACACAAGGTCCTCCTTGCTCGGTAAACTGTAAATGACCCCAGACTTGCGCCCGCGGTCTATCGTCTGCAGGATTTCACGCACTTTGAAGTGGGATATTTATTTGTATGGTTGGTGGGGGGAGGCTGGCTGGCTGTGGGCAAGGGGTAGATTACCATGATTGCTGCCACCGTGCTCTGGTCATCTCCCTCCCTTCCTCTCTTGCACTCCCTCCGCCCTCGCATCTTGTCAAGACGATGGCGAAGAGTACTTCAATTAAATTAACAAAACAAGGCAATTCCGTTAATGGAGTGTGACCCACATTGCGTTGTACAGCTCTTATTAAATCTGAGTATAAAATTTGTACGAGGAAGAAATTCAAGCCGCCTGCTTTTACCAATGAGGAGTGGTTGTGTGTCCCCCAGTGTTTAAATGGCCGCTGGTGTCTCCTTCACTATTGTGCTTCAAGCATCCTCGGCTTCACGGTGCTTCTGCTGTTGCTAAATTATTTGTATTAATTTCTTTTACCTTTTACCGTCACTTACCAAGATTCATTTTTCCCGTTCTTGAAAGACATGGCCAGGGGAAGGGATGAATGGTGGTATGCTTATCGGGCAACTTGAGCAGCTCATTTTTTTTAATCCCAGCAAATAAAGTGCAACTGTGATGGCCGTTAAATCGCAAAAATATTCTCCCATTTAACAAATAAAATAGTTGAATTATTAGTTACGGCAACAACAAGCAATTCAATTTTTGCTAGGTTTAGCCTTTCAAGTATTTATGGATTCCAAGCCTACGCCCCATTTCATGAATGGTTGTGAGTGCGATCAGGCATGTGACATGTGTGCCTGTGTTAAGAAGGAAATCGCATTCCGTCAGTTTCATGTCTTCGAAGCTGAACGGTAATTTCTCTTCCTCGTCTGCTCAAGCTCGGGACTTGTAAACACTATCTCCCATGTGGAGACTGCTTAACAGTGAAGATGAGACTTGATCTTAAAAGCTGCTGCATGCTCTGTTGACACACTAAAGAATTTCAAACCATATCTTGCCATTCCTATTTTGTCCCAAAAATTGGTTACATTTTTGTCCTGGGTGTGCTGTTTTTGTAGCATTTTCGCCCGTATGCTTGAGTAATTATGTTTGTTGCCGACAAGACAGAATGCACATGATAGCGGAATCAAGTTTGTCCTCGCAGATAAAATCCTGTCATTTTTAATACAATGAGTCAACGCTTGCACGCTCATTGATTTGACCGTAAAGAAGGAAGTTTTTAAATCGTACAAACGTTGTAGGTCAGACCAAATCTTTTATCTTACTTGGTCCTATACATATTTTTACTCTAACTTGGCAATATCATTAAAATCTAACCTGGTCTGATGTAAGTCTATGGACTTCTATCTTGACTTGTGTTCACATGTTCGCATGCAGAGATAAAGAAACCCAACACACGTAGATTTTTTTGCACAATGAGATCTGCTCATGGTTTCTTCGGGGGAGTAAATTATTTGGGTGTCATCGGTACGGTCAGTACGTCGCTCTTCATTTGAACACTTTCACTTCATCGCATCTGTTTTGTGGCGCAGCTCTTTTGGGACGTCATTTCCCTGGCCATTTGTTTTGTCCTAGTTTTTATAGTCTCGTATTCATTTCCCTATCGTGCATTCACTTCGTCGCACTTAGACCCTGGTGCTAACCAAAATCCCCCGTGATGCAATTTAAACTTGTCCCCCAACAAACTGAAGCCTAGCACCAAAGGCAGTGTGTCTCGTCTTGAAACGACGTGGGCACCAAGCGGTGAACCCCGCCAAACAGCCGCGCGGTAAAACGTTTGCGACGAAATGAATGTGGTGAGATGAGTCCTGGACATACTGATCGGATGGATGTACCGGTGCACAGCAGGGGGTTGAAGCTGTAGGTTTTTGTTGGGCAAGATGGCATGGGTTGGGGGGGCGGTGTGGAAGTTAAGAGGCCACGTGCGGGTTGTGGGCGGGGACGATTGACCCACAGCGCGTGCGTGCGTCTGCCCCTGTTGTCGCGCAGTCGGGATCGTCCACCACGACGGGTGAGAGCATCATGCGCCTCTACGAGCTGGGGCCTGAGCCCGAGCGACGCCTCTGGGTTGACCGCTACCTTGGCTTCATGGAGCAACGTGGCTCGCCCGTCGCGCTCCTGCCCGCCGTTGGCAAGAACCCGCTTGACCTCTACCGTCTATATGCCTCGGCCAAGGCGTACGGTGGCTTTGTGCAGGTAAGCCGGACCAGCAGAGGGATGGGGGCATCTTGCCGTTCAGCCACGCATCTCAAGCAAGTAGTTCGTCGTCGATCGCTTTAGAAACCGTGTTTATAACGGTGCGCGGAATGCGCACAGTTTTAACACGAGCACCATCTACGCAGCACAAGCAATCGTCTTCAGGTGAAAAAACACAGCAAGCGAACTGCTGAGGCAGGAGAAATATATTATTTCTCCTGCCTCAGCAGTTCACCTGAAGACGATTGCTGTGTTGCGATCAAAACGTCGGGATTTTTTATTATTTTTCTATCTACGTGACTTTACCGAAAGACCCAAAGAATATGAGTAGTATATGGTACATACAATAAGGGATTCTCCCGTTTGTCTTTTATGTGGAGCTGCCCCCCCTGGCTGTGTAACACTAACCCCCCCCCCTCACCCCCACCGCACTTTTCCCCCCGTCGACCGCAGGTAAACAAGAAGAAGAAATGGCGTGAGCTGTCGACGCAGCTGGCTGTGGGCACGTCCAGCAGCTCGGCCAGCTCGCTCAAGAAGCAGTACATTCAGTTCCTGTTTGCCTTTGAGTGCAAGACGGAGCGCGGTGAGGAGCCGCCACCTGAGATTCTCAACCCCTCCGACAACAAGAAGACACCCAAGATCCAGCCGCCCTCTCCGGGTACCTTTACAGCCATATCACACCACCACTGTCACCAGTGGTTGGATTCATACGTTCCGCTGAATATTTGTTTCTCCCAGAGGTTGAATATTAATTTCCCCCAAGGGAACCAGTGTTTGGGAGTTACCATTTAACTTGGGAATATTTGTATGCTATTATTTGTTTATAACAAAGTAATATTTTTTTTGCATACGAGTCTCACCGTCTTTTCAAATGAGGCTAACTTTTAAGACTACTTTCCAAAAATGGTTGCTTACAGCGTTAGTGTGAACTTTTTTGTACCATCTGTTTTGTTTGCACTTTTTCCCCAAGAAACCTTGCTGTTTTGTTCTACCCTATGTAACTTGACCTTACCCTAAATAGGGAGGATTTTTCTTTGCTGGAGGAAAATAATTTTCATTTCCCCAGTGGGGAGAGGGGGCAGTAGAAATATTTACGGGCAACAATATTATTTTACATTGGCCCTGGGTCCTCCTCCCTCCCCCCAACCCTCTCGACTATGACCCAATGCACACCGTTGCTGGCCATCCTCAGCCCAATTATAGTGGGGGTGCAAAAAGATTGTGTTAATTTATTTGTACAGGAAACCCCTACTGAGTCCTTTAGACTCTTTTTTTTTCCCTAGGAGAGCCGCTGCATTGGGATGTTCCAGCCAGGTCCATTTTAATGAGTTTGGTTTGTGTGTGTGTGGTGGTCACTCTGTAAACACACACGCTACACAGTACCTACCAGAGCGGGATCATTGACAACTCTGACCAAGACCCCGCCTGAGGGGTAGAGGCTGTGGAGTGTGTGTGTGTGTGATCCCCCAGAACCCTGCCCCTAGGCAGAAAGCAGGATAAACAAACACAGATCGGTTGGGCTTCCTGTGGCCAGAACCCCTCCTGAGGAGAGGGGGCTGTGGGGGATCTGTGATCCCTCAGAACCCCGCCCCTCGGTGGGGAATCGTATAAAAGGCGGGCTCCTGAGAGCAGAGTTCAGTTCGCCTCAAGCTGAAGTCGAAGAGCCACCTGGAGAAGAGACCCTGGACCCCAAACCCCGACGTCCTTCTAAGGGCCGGGGCTCAGTGCGGTGTCAGAGGTCGAGAGGCTAGGACGCTGAGGTTTCCTCAGCCCGACGTCCTTCTGAGGGCCAGGTCTTTATGGGCCAGTGGTCAGAGACCCACCGGTGCCAGCGGTGGATCAGCCTCCTTAGCTCCAGCCAGCCAGAGGACTATAGGAGTAGGTCAGTGGCTAGGATAGATAGCCCGGAGGCTGGTACCTCCACAGGTTGTGGGTAGAAGAGGCCATTACCCCTTCGTGCTTAGTCCTAGTGAGTTGTTAAAGATATAAATAAAACGTGTTGCTTCCTACTACGACTCTGTCTCCATACACGACTCCAACATGTGTGAAAATTGGAGTACCCAGAGAAAAAACGCAGACAGAGCAGATATAACAATTGTCCGCACAGATGGGTTTACTGGAACCCCGTCCCAGCGAGTTTGTGGTTTTTGACAGGCGTGATCCACCAACCCTTTCCTCCGAAGCCATGAATCATGAGCATGCTCCGCCTTGCCCAATTCAGGTGCATTATAGAGCACTTAGACAGGCATGTCTGAAGACTGTGGGTTCATAACGGTAAATGGTTGTGCGTCGTGGCGTCAAGGTGAGGTGACCCAAATATGGCTTTTGCAGTGTTTTTACTTGGGTAAGTTAGACCGGTATAGAATATACAGTTTGTGGTGACAGATGGGGGGGATTACCCCCCCCCCCCCATTGTAACACAACATGGCAATGAAAACAGAACATATCTTGTTTTTTAACGTGAGGATAATCATTCATCGCTTTAACTGGCATTTTATGTTTGCTTGGGTCTTGTCGAGTAACAGTCTAAGTGAACCGGTGGTTTAGCAGTTCTGTCCTGTAGGTGATGGGCAACTGAATGTATCTTTAAGATAATTTAGCTCTGTGTATTCAGGTCTAACTCTAGTGGTATCACTTTTGTACCTAAGTCTCCCTTGCAAAAGTGACCGAATTGTCCAAATTGGTTCTCACCTTGTGAAATGAACATAATTTAATTAGCTTTGGTCCATGGGCTAGATTAGAGGTAAGCACTGCCTCAAGTGGCAAAACGTTATTGGTATCAGTTTCTTTGTATGGTCATGCAACGGTGTAGTGACATTTCCTAACTTTCCATGGTTATTCCATCCAAATGTAATTTTTAGTCATTCACCTTTACAAAAGAGCTACATTTTTACCACTTCAGGCAGTACGAGCAAGTGACATTTCTTATTCGGGGCCCGTGGATTATATTGGGGCTCACTCAGAGTGAAGGGGAAGATGCCACAGAAAATACAAACTGCTCTCATCTTGAATTACGTGAACCATTGCTGTGTTCCGGGCTGTCTGACATGAGTTTGAAGCTTCTCTAATGAGGGTGAAAAATAATTTAAAATCGAAGTGAGAGGAGTGTTCTAGTGATGTCACTTGGGGTGTTCGGGGGTTCGCACGCGCATTTCTTTCACGACCACCTCTGGCTGTCATCTTATTAAAGCTTCTCCCTTTTCAGTAACGAGGCTTCAAACACGTGTCTTGGACAGCGTGGGCTGCGCAGGCTGGATGCGGGCACACAAACAGTTCTTGTTCTTTCCGGGGGGCACCTCTTCCTGTGGAGAGAGTCATGCAAATATCCACATGAAGCTGCACGCCATCCTGTGACGGCAATAAGAGAGCGGTGCCTGCTCCACCATTAATCTTGCAGCCACACAAACGCTTTGTCTGCCCCCTACCGCCCGTGCAAAACATGACGCTGTTTTGTCAGCCCGGTCGGGTGCTCTTATTTTTATTATTATTATTCGAGAGAGAGAATTTGCCGCTTCCCACGGGCTGGGGTTAAAATTGTGTCAGTGTATCATTAGGCGCATCACGGTTTGCCTTTCCTTATTTTCAGCAGCTGCGGCGCACAGAGTTGGCGTTTCGTCGCCAAGTCTAAAGTTGGCAACGGCGTCTTCTAAAAATATATCTCTCCGCACTTGACCTAAAATAAGCAGCCCGCTTACCCCCCCCCCCCTCCAATCATATCCCACCACCTACCCAACCCTCGCCTCACCCCTCCCTCGATCAATTCCCACTACACCCACACACACTCTCCCCCCCCCACCGTCCAAGATATACATCTGGCTAGAGACTCTGCTCTTGAAATGCTGTTTTCTTTTGTGCTTCCTGTATTATTTCACTTGCCGAGTTGGGTCTGCCCCATTGCAAGGATTGTTTCATTGAAATAAGCGACTGCCGGGTTTAAAAAGTGCTCGGCTATTCCTTGCGAGATGATTTTAAAAAAAAAAAATCTCTACTTGGCTTCTGTATAGTTGTTAATTTTAAGCACATTTTTTAAAATATGTTGCCGCGCCACAGAATAAATGGCCTCTGCGCGCAGTAGCTTAACTCGGAATATTTTCGGATATCTTCAAGGCAATTAATTTCCTTCAAAGATTGCACTTCAGTAGTGATGTCGCTTGGCCAGACTGCATAACATATAAGGTGCACGCACGCGTAGGCAAGGCACTGGAGATTTAAAAACGAGCAAGACACTTGAGTTAAAACGAACAGAACGCAATTACCGTTGCACTACCATCACCGCACGCGCAGCAAAGCCGCCGCGCGGTACCTGGACGGATTGCGGTTTTATATAAAAAAAAACCGGATCTGTGTTTTCTTGCCCCACTTGCAGCCGGCTCCAGCTCTACGCAGGGCCCCCTGACCCCACAGCCGCTGGAGGGACTGAGTGACATGAAGCCGCCCACCCCGGTGTCGACGCCGCGGCCCCACGTGCCCCCTGCCCACCAGAACCGGTGAGGCTCTTGTGAGCCGGCGTTGCAACGACAACGACAGCAAATGAAATCCACCTCATGCGGATTTTGTTTTTTTGCTGTCGCGGGGGAATCATCCTGCTGATTTAGGGTTTCGTGTGGAGAGACTGCCACGGGTGGTTTTTAAAATGGCGAAGCGATTCGACAAAGTGTCACGATGAGAAAGTCGTGATTCCATTCGAGTATCACTTTGCCTCTTCTGTGTTTGTTTTAATGCTTTATCTCTCCCTTGTGAGTTGTGGTGGCCATATCACCACCTCGTGCATTGTACTGGCCTCATCAGGTGTTTGCCAACAGCACTTCCTTTGAACACTGTTAGGCCGGCTGTCCTATTTTACATCTTATCAATGAGCTATTTCTATTCCTTTGGTCTCACGAAGCACAACAGTGGTATTGCTACCAGGAACACTAAAGCAACCAACGCCATCATTGGCACACATTGGATTAATAATCTTATTTTTATTTGAAGAGCGCCTTGACCAACAGAAGTAGCATTACAGTAGAACCCTCTCTTAACGACCACCCCTGTTAACGACAAATCACTTAACGGCAGGCCTCCATAGAGCCCAGTGCGTTCGCTTACCGATCATTCCCCTGTTAATGACGGGATGTTATAGGTATAGTAAATAATGCATTGATTAACCATTTTTTTAATATTACGTGTTTTATAATGTTATATCTTTATGTATTAATATCCATTTAAATATTTTAAAGTTAGTTTTTTGGGTTAAAAAGGTTAACTTTCGATGCTATCGGAACAAAAAAAGATGGCTTTAACATGTATTTACTATACTCGCTTCACGACCAAACCACTTAACGACCGATTTCATGGAACAATTAACGACGTTAGGAGGGTTTCAACTGTATTGCCACCATCAGAAATCATTTACATAATCTTATTTTAACAGTTTCTCTTAAAGCCTATTTGTGATCTTGCAGCTGATCCCCACAACCAGAATATCGGCTGTGTTGGTGTCATCGGCAGAGGTGGCAGTTTTTTTATGCACGTGTCCATATTATTGATTCCTGTTAAATCCTGTGCTGCCCCCTGTATCTCCAGGTACGGTGGCATGCCCAGCGGGGAGCCATACCCTGGGGGAGCCGATCCAGCGTATCAGAGACCCTACGACGGATATCCACCCCGGAGAGGTGAGGGCCGCAGGGCAGAGTTGGTGGCATTCGATGTAATTATTTTTTAGCGTAATGGTCCGGTGCCTCTTGTCAAGAGCCATTGGGAGCCTCCATCTTGCTCGAATGGCTTTCAGTCGTTTGTGTCCTCTGAACATAGGGCCACTCACCATTTGCATTTGGGGAAATGAGGCTTCCCTGTGGGGTACACGAGCCTGCAATGACGGACGGGTGGGGGGTGTGGTGTGCATGTGTGCGCAGGTGCGGAGGGCTATGGAGGCGGTCCCGGAGACCCCTACAGTCAGGGACCAAGACCACACCTTCAGTATCCTCCAAGCTACGAACGACGGTAACAGGAGTTTGTGTTTTCATTCATATTGAGTTGGTGATTGTTAATGGATTTCAAGAAACGCGAGTGAATTAACATTGTAACGACATGCAACCCAACTAGCTTAATGCAGTTGGTTATGGAATCTTCACCATAGCTCAGGCGTACACTAGACTGATGGAACCCTTGCCTGTTTATAAATCACATTTCAAACGAAGCTGCAATTCGCATCATTCAAGTCGATCTATACATATGAATTAGAAAAGCAAAATATCTTGATCGATAGAAATTATTCAAGTATCGAAAATACATCTATTGAGCAGTGAGCAGTATAATTATCTTATTTAAAATATAGATATCCCAAAAGTGTGTAATCACTTGTTATGACCGGATTTGAATAAACGTCGTTCTATAAACCCAAATGCAAGAGATTGAACTTGAGGCTGCTCAGGAGTCCTGGTTTCAAGGAATAGGTTTTTGTGGTGGTCTTCGTGACATATTCAAATTGTGCTCGACATTTGTCGTCTTGGTGTTACCGTGGTGCAGGCCAGAGCAGATGATGGGTTCAGAGGGTGGAGGTGGAGGGGGTGGCACAGGAGGAGGTGGCATGGCCTCGCAGAACTCGACATCCGACCCTGGCCTCTACTCCCCCAAGTTTCCTCCCGGAAGCCAACAATGGTAGAGCTAACCAGTGTCAGAAGCACCATTAGAAACCACCACAACCTATATGCACTGCAGCTATCATCACCTTCGTCATGATCAACACTTATTGCCGCAAGCCCTACCAAATAACACCATAACCACTAGCTGTCATGATCGGCATGTACACACGCCACTATCATCATTGTCATCGGCACCCATTGCTACTAAAATTATTAAAATGCCACCATTGTCGACACAATCGTATCATTGTGGCAATCGTCTTGAATTTTTGTTAGAGTGCTTTCCTTCACATAGTCATGGACTCGTGGACTCTAAATAGAAAATGTATTTCTTTAGAACTGCTTTTTGTGTTTAGTTTGTCCTTCCCCCGCACCTCCGATTATCATGGTTGGCTACGTACGGTAAAGAAAAATGTTCTACATACGTACATACTGTGAATTATGGGATCTGCGCATGTTCATGTTGCATCGGTGACAGTTGTTGCTGTTCTCTGTGGCAGGTCGGACCAGTGCGGCACTGGATACATGACGCAGGGGCCACCACCGTACCCACCCAATCAGCCCGGCGTGTTTTCGCAACAGGCGAGTGACCCACACCACCAGCATTGCACTCCCGTAAACCATCAGCGCAGCTCGGAGAGTCGCTCATTTCGGCGGCGCTGCTCTAGAAGACTCCCATCAGAAGTTGTGATGACAATGTTCTCAAGCGGTGAAGAGATTGAATACATGGCATATCACACGGATGCATTGCAAAAGTGACGTCGGTATTCGTGTGTGTTTTGAAGAGTTTTATCAATTCCTCGTCAGGTGCACTAGTTTCCTTTGTTGGGACATTAGCTGGATTACGTCGATGCCACTGTTCACAGGTCGTCTGTGGATGTCACTGCCATCCACAGGAAATCAGACTACCAGAGTAAACCCTAGCATATGGGAAAATAGCATAACAGGAGTCCCTCAGTTAATAATGGTTTTAATCCTTTCTACGAAAACTACTGTTAACCGAAATAATTGTAAATCGGAATATAGGTTAAACTATCTACAGACTCTCCTCACATTTCCTTCTCCCGAATCCATATCATTAGTAGTCTTTCCATTTCTTCAATAATTTCCGTACCTTTGAATATCCTAGTTGAGGAATCCTTGACATTGGTAGCTTGAATTTTGTCCTTATGTTGGAGAATTGTAAAAATGGTGGATTGGGTCAACCCAAACTCACTCATAAGTGCACTGTTTTTACCCTGTTTTTCATGCTTATCAATAATTTCCTGCTTGGTTTTGAGGCTAATTATTTTCCTACACTTTTCCTTTTGCGAATTCACTTTAGGGGCCATTGCTATCACTATTAATTCACTTACAAATTGAAAAATAAGTAAAAATAACTGAGTCTGCAAGAGAGCTGTTTCCACTACCAAACCAGAAATCATAAACGCTCACAAATGGGCTATCGCTGATTGGCTGAGGGCATGGCTCGGCCCACTTACGAGTGCTCAAATTGGCCGAAATTGGCGCCCGCATATATGACGTAAACATACCGCTAATCAAAATGTTAACGTTAGTCGAAACCATAGGGTCCTATGGGAGGCGAAAAGTTAACCGATGTCACTTTTAACCGACGAACTACTTTACAAAAAATATTCATGGCTAGATGATTAATATACTTTGCTTTGGTATCTCACCTAGCACTGCCATCTACCGGCTGCCCAGCAGCCCTGCAGGTTACGACTGGCATGATCCACTGACTGCTGCCTCCAGAGCAAATGGGGTGGCACTACTGCAGATAAAACCATTGTGACGCTGGGCTGATATGTGATGCAAGCCCATTGTGAGGCCAATTGTGGTCTCTAACATTGCAGAGTTTGGTCTATATAAAGTAATGTCATTGATGATCCAGAAACCTGTGGTGGCGTGTTGGGCCAGATTATTTTAAGGACTGTTGCATGTGGGAGAACTAAATAATTTGAGAAATCATACTGAGGGGATAACAGATCGGTGGGTCCCCACAGATCTGTTTCCTGTACTGACACGTAGGCTTACGCAACCCATGTTTATAATAACGGTTTTTTGGGTTAGATCTCGTAAATACAAATGTGTCGTTAACCCACGAACTAATTAGCAAGGTTTCACAAGTAATTACATCCAGCATCATCGGGCAATTGTTTTTTTTATCCAATTCTGGAAAACCTTACTAATTGGGTGGTGGTGGTGGGTGAAAGACACATTCATACTTATGCGATCTAACCCAAAAAACGTTTAATATGAATGTTGCTATACTGTCATTTCCTGGCGTTCATTGAAGACCAGCTAGGCCTTGAGTGTCTCAAATCCGTCACCCACCCAAGCCAGGTGTGTGCCGCTAGGCACACCTACAGCCCCATGTACACACAAGGTCCTCAACGCTTTGCTGTATGTAACTTGTGCCGCAGGCCTACAAGCGCCCTGCGGAGGGAGGCTACGAAGGCCCCCCGGCCAAGAGGCAGGAAACCGATGCTGTTTACAACTCCCACTACAGCAACAACCAACAGCTGTCGCAGCAGGCTCCCCCTCCTCCTCAGCAGCAGCAACAGCAACAGCAGCAGGGCCAGTACGGCTCGTACGAGCCGGGCTTTCCTGGTCCAGATCACAGGGCGGCATCGGGTCCGTACTCTCAGGTGTACGGCCGTCCGGTGGCCCCAACGGCCACAGCTCAGGCGGCGGGCACGGCTGGTGGACCTCTCCCTCCAGGCGGTGTGGCTGTCCCACAGGGCCCAGGGGGCCCGGTCTCTCAGGAGGTCACCCAGGGCCCTGTCGTAGCCGGGCCCAGTCAGGATCTGGGAGCGTTGAGCCGTGAGCACGGAGCGCCGGGGCAGCCAGTTCCAGCGAACCAAGCGGCCGGGCTGGCGCCCTCTGCCAATGCCGCGCCTGCCGGACAGTGCCCTAGCCCCATGATGAGCCAGGCGCCCGGCGGTGTCGCCGGAGCCATGGGCCAGCCCGCCATGGGGGTGTCTCGCCCCTCTGGTGACCCCACCATGCAGCCAGGTGTGTGGGCCAGCCGGGGCGAACCCCCCTACCCCTATCAGGCACGGCAGCAAGGGATGCCGGGCCCGCATGGACCTCCTTATGCCGTTCCTCCGCGCTCCGAGGAAATGATGGATCAAGCGCGTGGCCCCTGGCAGCAGGGGCAGGGGCAGCAGCAGCCGCAGACGCCGGTGCAGCAGCAGCAGCAGCCGCCGCAGCAACAGCAGCAGCAGCGCCTGCCGCAAAGCTCGATGTCCGGATCGCCGTACCCGCGCCCAACCCTGCATCACGGCTACCACCAGCAGCCGCCGTACCCGGGCCACGGAACTCCCGCGTCGGGCGCGTACCACCGCTCGCTGTCGCCAGGCCGCTCTCCGTATGTGAGCGGCATGGTCGCCCCCACGCCGCCCGGCGCCCGCATGATTCACCGCGCTGGGCATCCGGTGCCGGCCACACAGCTGGGTCCGTCGGGCTGCTTGGCCATGCCGACTGTGCGGCGCGAGCTCTGCTTCCCGGCGCGATCCGTCGAGGCCACGCAACCCACGTACAAGCCGCGCCGAAAATTGACGTCCAAGGAAGTCGGTGAGCCTTGCGGTGGTCGCGTTGTTTGCTTGTCGTTATATTGAAATCACGCGAGAGCCCATTGAGACCAACGGTCTCTCTGTCAGGGAAAACTTGGGTCAAATGAGTACATCATAAAAAAAATCCTACGTGCTGCAGTGGATTTTCTTGACAATGCCAGTGCTTCTGTGTTATGTAATGATTTATCCCTTCCCTCCCATGCCATTTGATGAATTGCCACGATCTGTGGCCACGAATTAACTCAAGAATCGATGGAAGCTTTATTACTCCTCTCCCTTTTGCACTTGGATTGCATCCCAGTGTTTTTACTACAGTAAAACCGTGCAATGAAGATAGAGAAACGGTGTCGCAGATTAAAGGATTAGTAGCGGATAAGAGGTTAATAGTTTGTAACGGGGGGGGGGGGGGGCAGCAGGGGGGTTTAGTGGTGGTGACAGTGCTGGGGCATTGTAGCGACACTGGTTTCTGATGGATGGGCATCATTGTGTGGCCGCATCTTCCTCCCCAGGTTCCCCGGAGGCGTGGCGCGTGCTCATGTCTCTCAAGTCGGGGCTGCTCGCCGAGAGCGCCTGGGCCGTCGACACCGTCAACGTGCTCCTCTACGACGACACCAGCGTCTCCAGCTTCAACCTCAGCCAGGTGCGCGCACCGCCGCGGCCGCGCACAGTCGTCGTCGCCCCTCCGCAGGGGTCGCGTGCGACGCCGCGCAGCTTTTGAATGGCGTGGCCGTAGGTTTGTGCGCGCGTGGTGTCTTGTGGTGATGTGCGCGTCGCGTTGGCGTTTGTGAAATGTATTGCCTGGCGCTGTTGGATATCCGTCGGCACTTGGGAGAGACGAAGGATGCTGGGCTTGGTGCTCGTCAAACTACTCCCCGTGTGCCCGTGCCAGCCTTAATAACACTCTGGCTAACAGAATTTTCCCCAGCAGTATGTATGAATGAGCGTGTGCAGTGTGTGTGTTGTGTGGAGTCGTGCATGTCTTTTTTTGCAGTAATTTTTGTGCTTTGTGGTGTGTGATGTTTGTGTTGATGTATTTTGTGCATGTTTGTGGTGTGTGCTGCATAAAATGTCTGCTACAGTGGAGCTGTATAGAAGTTCACCAGGGACCTACAACTAGTCTAGACATTCAATGCTGTCAAGTTGCCAGAGCTTTGGATTGTTATTTATTCTCTTGAGGTGTTCCTGATCTCGTCATCCTTCAGGACCTTCATGATGGGAGGGCTGGCCTGGGTAAAGCCATGTGGCTAGGAGTCGGGAGCCATTTTCTGTTCACCTTGTGGTGCATCAGGAATGCCCTTTAATCCCCTTACACTATTCATCATCTCTCTTCGAGAATCATTTACTTTGAGAATCCTTCCATGGCTATACCAGTGGATTTTTCTTTTGGGGAAAAATACATTGGAAGGCTGATCCCCAGGTGCAGTCAAGGGATGGTACCTTATAAAAATAAGAATAGGTTTTTACTCTTTCTGGCAATAAAACAGGCGTTAAGATGTTCAAACACCAAATCTATACCTTTTGCAAGGAATCAAGTTTCTGCATTAACCACACGTACTTGTGGCAAAACATGCAAACACACATGCTCTGATAATATATGCATTGACTTTGAAACTGATTAGCTTACACCAGGGATAGACTTTTTATTTCCTTGTCTCACCACCAGTGTCAGACCAGAGAACGCCAAAAGGCGACCAGCACAAAGACAATGCACCTATCAGAGCATTTGTAGCTCGGGTTTGAGGATAAATATCGTGTGGTTAATGCAGACTTGATTCATTGCAAAAGGTATATATTTGGTATTTGAACATCTTAACACCTGTTAAGGGTAACACCTATTCTTATTTTTCATACTTTTGTACTGGGAAAAAAATATCCCGGGATGGGACCTTACTCGTCCAACCATGTTATGTCTGCTCATGATGACTCGGTGTAATTGCTGCCCGTTCGGAGGAAGAGTTGGGAGATTCTTCTGCTCAAAGTGCAGTGCTTTCTACACCAAACTAAGTCCCCTGCCTGTTTACTCTGAACACTCAACCCTCTCCACTGTCCATGAATAATACTGTGGTGGAGGCGTTTACATTCCTGGTTGGTGTGCTCATGGCCAGCTCAGGTTTGCGAGCAGAGGTCTCCGAATCAGTCAAGTAACATCTTTTAATACGATGTGTATCAAGCTGTGTGGCTTATACGTGGCTTTTCACTTCATACGGCCACTCTTGGTCTCCTCTGCCACAATCTCATACTTTCTCTGCTTGCGAAATTTGGCCTCTTTTTAAGCTAAAAAACTGAACTGGCTTGATACATTTCTGTTGGCCTGGATTTATCTGGATTGGATTGCATGCGAGGAGCTCGCAGATCCTTGAACGATCTCAACATTGTTGGTGTTACGGTTGTTTACCCAAGGAATCTTTACTGAGTCTCAATACCCTTTCGGAGGAAGGTCCCGACACGTTTTGCAGGAGAGCAATTTCCCCAGGATTGGGATGTTTGTCCAATACCGGTTATTACATCATGACCAGATCTTAGTCCGCTATGTCTCGCCACCGCATGTCTTATGTAGATTTTGTTTGGCCAGATAGAGAGGACTAAATTGTAATGGCGTGGGCTACGGAAGAGATGTGCAGATTTGGTTCCGTGGAGGATTTGGAGCTGAGTGGACTTGCCCCATGACTGGTACTGGCAGTGTCGTTTTGGCCTCTTTGGATGGGGGATGTGAAAGACTGTACTGGTTAGTTGAATGCAGCAACAGTGGGAACAGAGAAGTCAAATCTAAGAGAAAAGTCACTGTGAAAGGTGTCACAGTGGGAGGAGCACAGTTGGTGCATCTGCCAGCCATTGAATTCCCTTCACCCATAACACCTGGGCCTGTCGCCATGACCTGTTCGTGCGCCTTCGACACTTTAATGTGATATCAGAGTGCACGTTTGCATTCTGGTCAATGGGTGGTGGTTTTTGTTTTGTGTGTTATTGCTTGTGCAAGTTGTTTGACGGGTTCAATCGGTTGCTGTATACCCTGTACCGTTCCTGTTCCGTTGCAATGTGCACCGATGCCTACTTTATTGAGGGCGTTATTGGCACGTAAAATAATGATTGAACGTATGTGTCATCTTATACATGTCGTCTTTATAATTATTGCCTTGAATGTCACGATGCTTGTATATTGTGTCGTGGTGTGCGCATTGTATACAACTTTTATTGTGCTTTCCACGCCCTGTTGCGCAACACTTGTGTGCCTCGCGATGTACCGTGCGTGGTGTTGTTCTTCTGACACCCCCCCACCCCCCCCCCCCCTTTGCTCCGATCTCGCACAGCTGCCCGGGCTGCTCGAGCTGCTGGTCGAGCATTTCCGTCGCTGCCTCATCGACATCTTCGGTATCCTGGAGGAGTACGAGCTCGGCAACTCTGAGAAGAAGTCCCTTCTCGACGGGAAGCTCTTTGCCAAGGCGCAGGTCTCTGTGCGGCTCGGCCTCAACGGCGATGCTGACAAGTCGGATGACGAGGAGGAGGGTGGCGGCGGTGGCGCAGGTGACGAGAACACAAACGACGACTCCGGCACGGACCGCAACAGCTCGGCCGTGGATCTGGAGGACGCGCCGGCGCAGCCCGACTCGGAGGAGACCACGGAGACGACAACGACACCCGCGGCGTCGTCGTCGTCGTCGTCGTCTTTGCTGCCGCCGCTCGCATTGGCGGCGGCGGCGGCGTCGTCGTCGTCGTCGTCGGAAAAGGCCGAGGGTGTCAAGGGTGCCACCCCGGCGCCTGCAAATGTGGAGGACGCCGTGTCGGCACGCTCGCTCGCGGCGAGCACGTTCGACCGCCTGCCCATCAAGGTGGTGGAGAAGGCGGAGGAGTTCGTGGTGGAGCGGCCGGACTGCGCCGGCACCCGACTCCCGGATGGCGAGTGCGGGCGGCTGCACTGGCAGCTGGGCGGCGGCGACACGACGGAGCACATCCAGACGCTGTTCGAGAGTCGGACGGGCAGGACGGCCCTGCTGCACCGTAGCCTCAAGCGGAGGCAACGGGGAGCGGAGCCGCCCAAGGCCCCGCGACCCCCCGGCGCGGTGGAAAACGGCGACAGCACGGACGCGCGGAGGGCGTCTGCGGAGGCGGTGCCGTCGGCTGGCGCCGACGGATTTTGCGACCTCGGTTTGCCCAACGGGCTGCATTCCCCGCTCGATGAGAAGCTGAAGGGCGCAGGCAGGCTGCTGGAGGATGAGCCGGAGTGCAAGGACGACCCCCCGCTGTGCACGTTCGAGGACTGGCAGGAGGCGCTGTCGCGGCGCTGCGTTTGCATCTCCAACACGCTGCGCAGCCTCTCGTTCGTGCCGGGCAACGACGCGGAGATGTCGCGGAACCCGGCGCTGCTCGCGATTCTCGGCCGCCTGATCCTCCTGCACCACCGTCACCCGGAGCGGCGGCGTGGGCGCATGCACCCGCACGACGGGCCGCTCACCGGCTGCCACGCCGCTGCCGGTACCACCGAGGGAGAGCGTGATGCCCGGAAGGAGGTGGATGCGGACAGGATGAATCGAAACGAGGATGACGAGGATGCGAAGGACGACGACGAAGAGGAGGAGGAAAAGGAGGAGGGCAGGAAGAGCTCGCTGTTGAATGGCGATGGAAAGGAAGCGGATGCCGAGACGGGAGAGGCTCAGGAGTCGGGGCGCGGTGGCGGCGAAGCAAAGCCAAGTGTGCACGGTTTTGGTGGCCCGGTTGCCAGTGGCGATCCTAACGATCACGAGTCGAGCGAGCGCCGCTGGTGGTGGGACTGCCTGCAGAGCCTGCGGGAGAACGCCTTTGTGACGCTGGCCAACATCGCGGGCCAGCTGGACCTATCCACGTACCACGAGAGCCTCGTGTTCCCGCTGCTCGACGGGCTCCTGCACTGGGCTGTGTGCCCGTCGGCGGAGGCACGCGACCCCTTCCCCAGCGCGGGCCCCACCTCGACGCTGTCCCCGCAGCGCCTCGTGCTCGAGTGCCTCTCCAAGCTGAGCACGCAGGACGGTAACGTGGACCTCATGCTGGCGACGCCGCCGTTCGGCAGGCTGCGCCGGCTCTGCGGCACGCTGGTGACGCTGGTGAGCGAGCGGCGCGAGCAGGTGTGCCGCGAGATGGCGCTGGCCCTGCTCGCCAACCTGGCGCAAGCGGACGGGTTGGCGGCGCGCGCCATCGCGCTGCAGCGCGGTTCGGTGCCCACGGTGTTGGGCTTCCTCGAGGACTGCCTGGTAGCGCTGATCCACCAGCAGAGCCCCGCCGCCATGCTGCAGCACGCCCCGCCCCCCGCCGTGCAACATCCCAGCCACGACATGATGCGGCGCGCCGCCACCGCGCTGCTCGCCATGGCCCGCGCGCCCGAGAACCGGCCGCACTTCCTCCTGCAGCAGGGCCGGCTTCTGGACGTGTCCATGTCCAGCATGCTGCACCCCAGCATCGCCGCCATCCTGGGCGATGTGCTCTACAGGGTGGCACAGGCCTGAGCGGCATTCTTTGGCGAAGCGGGTGCGGGGGGGAGGCGGTGGTGGTGGTGGTGGTGGTGGGCGGGAGAGGCGGTTGGGTGGGTGCAACGCCACTCCTCAACTCGATCCCCGCTCCGCTCGTGTGCCCGGGGGGCGGGGGCGGGGGCGGGGGGGGCACGCTTCGTCAAGAAAAATAAAAGCAGGAGAAATGTAATTTTATTTAGGTAATTATAATAAAATGCTGCTTTGCTGCTATGCGTGAGGCTTGTGCCTGCCGCTGTGCGCTGCACGAAGCGTTGAACGGCACCAGGGAGCCGTCCCGGCTCTGCCCTCGGTTGGTTGCGGGGGGGGGCTCATCTTGACTCGCTTGTGCCCGAGCCGTGAGTCGCAGCGAAACGAATGGAGCAGCTACATCCGTGGTTCCTTTTCGCACGGCGCTTATCTCCCCGGACTAAACAGCGCCGTTTCCATTGAACTTTTCCTCAAGGGGATTTGCCATCTCCTGGATAATCCGTCGCTTGGTGTAGCTTGGATCGGGGGGGGGGGGGGTCACGGCCGAGAAGTGGAGGAAAATTTTGGGAGCTCGGAGCAGTTGCAAGAGAGGGGGGGGGTGTGGGGTTGTCGGGACTGTCACGTGGTCGACACCACTCCCATACTGGAACAGTTTCCCCTTGTACGTATCCTTACGGTAGCAGCCGAATCTATTATTTTTAAAATTGTCACCGCAAGGAGCACCCGGGGTGCGGGGGAGGGGACTGATGGTTTGAACGCTGTTCATGTTTAGTTTCCAAACGTGGCCCATAAGCGTGTGGTGGCGGAAGTTTTTGGCACAGGGACACCCCCACCGGAATGCCCGTATCGGTTTACCGCTCTTGGCTGCACGAGTTAAAACCGCGATGGTAAAGAGAGACCCCACCCCACCTCCTCCCCCCCCCCCACCCTCTACGGCGGGCTACGATTTTGTGCCGAGGTTATGCGAGTGCGTGAGTGAGTGGAATACACGCAACCGCAAAAAATCCCTTCGCTGCCTCCACAGCTCCCCCCCCCCCCCGCTTTCTCAAGACCTCACTTGGCAGCCAACTTCCAAAAGAAAATCGTGCGTTGCTCTTTTGTTTTGGAGCCACAGTTCCTGGGAGGTTACACATTTTTTTTTCCCTCTTTTTTTTCGCATTAGGAAAACTTTTTTTAACTCGGCATGTGTGTTGAATGTCAAAATTTAAGGCCTCATCCTCGACATACCAAGTTTAGTGCGTAATAAGTGCCGAATCATTTCACGCGTTTTTTTTATCGCGGTGTCGGCTTGCGGGGTGGGTGGGTTGGGTGGGTGGGTGGGGGGGGGACAGGCAGAGATCTTTGCGCGTTGCTCGTCCGGCCCAACGAAACCGCGTGTGCGCGTATCACGTTTTACCAGCCCCCGCTTTGCCACCTCCGCTCCAGCTCTTCTTGATTTCAACATCCGCCTCCTGCATTTGATGGTGACCGCTTGATTTAACGCCTTTTTAAGGGTTCATGTTTTTTTGTTTTGTGTTCCTGTCCTGTAAATTTAGTAGCAGAGCGTTGCTTTATTTTTTTATTCCTCCACTTGCGACGTTGGAGGTGTTTTTTTGCCTTCTCATCGAGCAGTGTTCTGCTGCCCCATTTCCCTCTACCGGTAGCCAAGCTTTCCTCACTCCCCTTTGTGACCAGACATAGGATGAAACATTAGATGTCATCATATGGGTGTTCTGTGTGTGCTTTTTTTACACTGTAGTTTATTTTGTTCATGTTCTTTAAAAAAAAACGATGAAAAAAGACTATTCCTTGGTTTTTATTTGTGCCTCTGATAGAAGATGTAATATTCTACGCTCGTAAATTAAAACACGCGGAAGAGCGGAGCATTGTAACGACAAAATGTTCTGTTTTGTGGTTATTGATATTAAATTTGATGGCGTGTGTCTACTAAAAAAAGCGCATAAATTAACAGCAAAAGTAGATGAAAGTAACGGTGGTGAATTTAAAATAAACACGTGGATACGGAGAAGCGAAGGGCTCGCTCTATCGTGACTCAAAAACCTCTGGCTTCCTCTTGTCTCGTGATGAACTTTTGGAGATTTATTATTTTTTAAAACAAGAACTTTTTTAAAGAAAAAAGGGGGAGAGAAGGGGGTTGGGGGGGGGGCTTTTGCCATCGTGGGGTGGGTGGGGGCTCAGAGTTGAGGAGCCTGGCGGCGGAGTCGAGAAGGCCGGTGATTTTGGTCACCGCCGCGTCGATCCGGAGGGCAGACTTTTGAAAGTCGTGCGGAGCGTCGTCGAATGCGTCCACCTACTTTAAAGTAAAACAAAATTAAGTCTTTTAACAAAAACGTGTCTTTTAAATTAGTCGAAAAGGCAAAGCCCTCCGATGTTGTCGAGTGTCCGTGGCATCTCGGTGAAATGCGGGTTGATGGCACACACGCGCGTGAGATCTTAAGCTCCTTGTGTAAGTAATAAAAGAAAGTAGTCGATTAAAAACGCGCACACACAAAAAAAATAAAGGCAAAAAAAAACCGAGAAAAACGGGAAAAAAATACACTTTTTTTAAAAAACAAAACTATATACACACTTAGCAATGTAGAGTTTGAAAACACGAGTTAAAAAAAGAAGTTGAAATAATATTAATGGAATAAAAGTAAAATAAACCAAAAAATGTGTGGAATGTTTGCCAGCCAATGAATGAATGTGAATGAGGGGGCAAGGGGTGGGGGTATGTTGGGACTCTGGGCGGGGTGGGGGGTGTTGTAAGCTTGGGTGATGGGGGGTGGCGGGGTTAAAGCTAAATGCTGGGTGAGCACGGAGAGCTTCATTGTAGAGGAATACTCCTATAGGTCGTACCCGGATTCAAGATTTGAACTGCTTGAGCAAGTTCACAAAGCTATGCTGGTCGATGAGGGGGGGGGGGGGAGGGCGGGGGAGTTTGGCCTTCGTTTCATTTACGTTTTGTGTACTTTTTTTTCTACAGCCTTGTGAAAAGTTTGGGTTGGGCACCGTTCCGTGTGTGTGTGCGCGCGCGTGTGTACATATTAAGATAAAAACGAAATAAAAAATTAGAAAAGTAAAACCACAAAAAAATTGAAACAAAAACCAACCCTTGTATACTATATAAAACTTTACTCATTACGTTTTCTGTAGAACAATAGATCAACTGTCGTAAATCAGCTATTAGCATTAGCCGTATATCCATCTCAATTATTAATATTTTATTTTTATTATTTCTTTTGGAAGTTTTACCTTTCTGTATTTAGAGGGGATTTGTAAACCTGAGTATTTTATTTTATTTCTAAGGCGTTGCGCTCTGTTAATAGAGCACATTTAACTGAATATGTTGATCATGGTGTTTGTTATTAAATGGAGTATAAAGCTGCAAAAAGATGATCCACGTTGCTCAGTGATTAATATGACCGGCTTATTTGTATGAGCTACGTAGGGGAAAAAAAAGTCGATGTAAATCAATCATTTGTTTTCCTACAGGCTTATGAGTGTCAATTCCTCGGTGCGAAAAAATCTTTTTACTGTATGTCTCACGGTGAAAATAAATGTACATGAAATCTTGGTAACATTGGCCCACTTGCCTTGTGTCTCGTGTTGGCACAGGGTAACAAAAAGGCTTTGGGCTTCATTGTTTGAAGCCCGTCAGCCACGGTGTGGTTGTGTTGCACACCTATAATCCAGCGACTTGGAGGCACAAGGTTGGTGGATCGTGCAGATGTTGCAACCTTGGCGTACATGACACCTTCCCCCACCTGCAGGACGTCAAGTGGGAAGGGCTGTAAGTTTGACGTACATGCAGGAGAACCAAGTCGTTTTCAGACGGACTGACTGTGTAATGGAGTGGGAGCTTTCCCTTGGCTTTCTCGAGGTTCTTTGATTTTTGCCTTCCATAAGCAAAACAACAATCGAAAGTTTAAATACCCAGTCACAAATTGTCAGGTTTTCCATGGTAAAATAATCCTACTTGGGTTGCAGTTACAGAGGGCCGCATACTCTGCTTTTGGTTTTCTCCTCTCAAGTGGTACGTGCAGGTTACTGGATATTTAAAACGCCAAAACAACACGAGGCACCAAGGGTTGGGCTCTCACCAGAAGAGCTTTCCTGGGAGTCTACAGCCTGCATACACCGATTAGCACGGTTGGCTTCGTACGGTTGTGAAAGAAGTTCGACGTACATACAGAGCACGAAGCATTCCAGTTGCTCAACGCTTCCGCGTTCGGGGGGCTTCCCAGTTGTGCTGTATAGCTCTCCTGACGTGTGCACCTTTCGTGAAATCGAGCAAACCTCGCAAAATTCAAAGCAGCATTCGCTTACGGCCTGAAAACATTTCGTAGATCAACGCCATTCCACCTGTGCTTGTCACCTGAAACTCAGGAAAAATCCAGTCAGTCACTTGCTGCCCAACGCACAGCACTCGAGACATTTCCATCATACTGAGTTAAGGGCCCATTCTGAATGTAAGGAACCAGGGACATCGCGGGGTCTTGAGGAATGACCAATGCATGACATGGGCTTTTTATTTTCGAGTAAATTGCACGAGATTTGTAGAAGGCAGTAAACATTTTCCCGTTCATCTTATTTTTGAGTTGAGACATTGGAAATGGTGACGAGCAGGGAAAATCCTGGTTATGTGTTACAGGCAATTTGGAGTCTTTGGGGTGGGGGGGTGCACTCAAACTGACATTTAAAGGGCATTTTACATTCCAATGCATATTGAACACGGGCAAGTCAAGAAGTTAGTTCAACATACACAGGAAATATGCACTTTTTTTCATCCAGCCGTGTCTGCACAAGGGACATTCATTTTTTTTGCAGACACCAGCGGGGGTTGGGGGGGCGGTCACGGATGCGTAATTATTGCTCGCACGCGTGTCCCAGAAGCCCACGAGTATTTTGTTGGGCGAAAGCAATAAAAGCTCTCGCCGTTGGGTTCAACCAAAGGAGGAAAGTGTGCCGCCAATACCCACGCCGCAAAACGACAATTCCCGTTGTCCGCATCTGTCCGTTCAACAAGGACGGACAGCAGTCGTCTGTGGCATATGGGGATGGGCGGGTCACCCGATGGAGAGAGGTCT